CCTGTCCTCTCTGCACGCTCCTCAGCTGCCCTATTCATTTTATGCAGCCAACAAAAAAAGAAAGCAGGGCTAGAAAGGAATTCCTTTCTGCCAAAACAGCCCCTGGGGAATCCCAGTGCTGCCAGCCAGGGCTGGTCAGTGGGAAATGGGAGCTGAAAGGCTGCCATGGGATTTAGTGCATGATGGAAGCAGTCTGGGGAGGCTAGGCATGGGAAGGTACCTCAAGATACTCCTCAGGAAGCCCTCTGCTCCTGGTGGCTGGCCCTTTCATGATTCACAATCCTGTTAACAGTTCTATTATCTCTGGAGTTTCCAAGATTTTTGAAGCAAGAAGCTTGGCATGGCACAGACTGCAGGTATTTACTTGGTTCCTGAATGGAGTTATTTGTCAGCAGCTTAGCCCAGCTCCTTCTAGGAAGGAAGGGTGAAGCCAAAAGTACCAAACCCTGACTCTGCTTTGGGATCCATGGATGGAGGGTTGGAAACAAAATCTCCAGGCTGGGATGTGGGAAAGCTAGTTTATATTCCTGATCTGGTGAAGAATACAGCCACATCCTTGGACAAATCACTTAATCTCCCAATGCCTTAGTTTCCTGTTAGCAAATGATACTCCTTATCTTTCACCTCTCATCTCAGCAGAGGAAAGAGTTTGTCTTTTAGTATATATCTCATTACAGTTCTTTGTCTGGTGGCTGAGGCCCCTCTACCTTGATAAAATAAGTAATTGAATTTAGATTAAATGGTCTAATACAATCCTGCCCAGTGGTTACTGAAACACTTGAACGAAAGCTCGTTCTGAGCCTGTCTTCCCATTTCCTCATAAGGCCAAGACATGAAGTAATTAGATGTCGACGTAGGTTGTTATTGTAGCACAGTGACAGAGATCAGTGGTTATTGGTAGGAATGGCTTTTATAATCTAGTTTAATGGTCATTTACCTTTCAGTGACCTTAGTGTCAGGCAAAATTGGCAGCTCTTTTGCAAGGAATGTGCTTCCTCAATGAGGGCTTTGCAAGCTGTTTCATTTTTGGCTCTAGCTTCACATGAACTAGGATAGACACTGCTGCAATGCAAGAGACTTTCAGTCTGCAAAGAAAGGCACAGACTGCTGCCAAAAGAAGCCCTTTTCAGTGCTGTCCTGCTGCCACTGAATTGCTGTTGGAACAGATCAGTTGTGCTTAAAGCATCTCTTTGCTTATTGCTGCAGCCAGAGTTGCAGCCTTCAGACTGGGAGAGCCTGTGGTGGTCAGTGGCAGCCCAGGAGTTTTGTAAAATGGGTTGCATTGTCTTGGAGTAAAAGAAGGAAGAACTTACCTCTTCATCCAGTTAAGTGCATGAAGGAAGAAGGAGCTGGTAATTCTGACTATAACGCTCACCCTGAAAGTCCTTATTACGTCAATAAAGATGTGATATTTCTATATATTTCAAAGCTAAGGAGTCCTTTCAGTGATATTCACCCTCTCACTGCAGATGCAAATCACTCAATTTTCCCATTGGCTGTGATGCTCCTATACCTCTCTCCATCATGTGTTGAGAAATTCCTACAGGTTTCATCCAGTTACTGATGTCTGTTGCCATGGAGAAGAACATGATATGAGTTGTGCTGTGATTTCTAAAGGTACCCCAGGTCTGTGGCCTTTGTAGGACTTTGTAGGGAGCTGCAGTAGTTCATATCCTGGTGCTTGAGGGGACTGGATTCAGGGCAGGTATTCACAGTGACCTGGGCCAAGCCTCTTAATTTTTCTGACAATCTAAACCTTTAGATGGTATTGCCTGATTACCTTAGAGGTAATCTGTATCTTCTGTGAAGGGAGCTGAATTTTTGCAAGATCTCTGAAGCTCTTTGTTTCAGTTGGTGTCAGAAATATTACTTGAGTCACAAAGAAATGCTATGAGAGTGGAGAAGAGCAATACAGCAGTGGAAAAAAAATTCAGAAAAGCATCTGAGAATTGCTCTGCCTTATGACTTAGGCTTCTGTCTACTTCTGATCTCTCATCCTGCTGCTCAAAGCCATACAATTCTGCAGATATGTTCCTTGCATCTGTAACTATTGCCTTGCAGAGCAGAAATCATCTCTTTATGTGCTCTCATTTCTAAACTGCTAAGATAAGGAGAGCAAAACCATGCAGCTGGGGGGCAGAACTATTTGTTTTAGGCTGCTTTGAAAAGACACCAACCTGGTTTTACTGTGAGCATGTTCCATACATCACCATCAGTGTGTATCTAAATCTGTAAAGATCTATCAGTGTGATAGATCTTGTTGGAACAGATCAGTTCCAACTGATCTGAGTGGTTTAATGTATAAGAGTTCTCACATTCATCAATCTCTGATAAGTATTAGCTTCTTCTTCTGATAGGAGAGAATGAACTGTTAGTGGAGTTTTTTTGTTTTTTTTCAGGTATCAGGTTTGGATTGGGAATGTCCAGCTGAGATCAGAGAGATACTTGCATAGAAGCAGATGGTTTATATACTGCTTCTTGCAGAAGAAGAGCAAAATTAATCTCTCATGAGTCCCTGAAGTCTGAATCCATTGAGGTCTGACAGTCTTTCCACTGACCCCAGGATCACATCCTAAATGAGCTGCTTTGAGTCACTGGAAGCCTAAGTTCAGCTTTGGTGGGCTGGAAAATGCAACCTACTGTATGGGCTATGCTATTCATAAGCACTCAGCCCTGTGTGTGTGCTAGCTGTGGATGCCTGGGAGAAGAATAAAGTAATTTTCTGCAGTGTGGGGGTGGAGGAGGGAATGGGAATTGTACCCCCTTCCCTGCAGACCCACTGTTGTGACATCCACGTGGGCAGCTGTTGGGAGCTGACCTGTTTCTGGAGCTTCAGATTAAGGTTGGGTATCCTTGGTGCCGTTTTTTCTGATATCATCCCTGACACATGAATGTCCTGTGCAGCTGGCATGACCAGCAGGACCTGACCTCAATTTGAATTTTCTGAAGTGGGCCACTGAAGCAGATGAGTATAGCAAGGTTGTGATTTACCCTGGGGTGGGGGTTCCTTAAACTTGGAAGAAACAGGGTCCCTGAAGCTTTAGAGAAGCCAGTTGTGAGTAGGTTTGACACCATTCATTGCTTCTTGGCATCCAGTATTATTATCAGCAAATAGTACCTGTTTCTTCACAGCTTATGGAAAAAAAACCTGCTGTTTCTTGAAGTGATTCTTGTTTTCTCTGGGCAAAAAGGAACCTAGCAAAGACATTTGAGTTATGCAGCATGATGCAGGTGTTTTCCGTTCCCTGCTGGTCCTAAATCAGACCAGAAGAGAATTAATTTGGTGTGGAGGGTACAGAATGAAGTGTGAATAACTACAAGTTGGTTGGTTCCTCTGGAGCTGTTATTGATTGATCTGGAGTCATTAGGCTGATTTACAGTCAATCTGGTGAGGATTAATTCAGTTTGAGAATAGCAGCAGTGAGCTTTTTTTTCAATTAACGGCTAGCAACACAAACTTTTACAGTGTAATTTATTTATCAATCTTCTAACATGTATTTACCCCAGGAAGGCTGCCTGGTGGCTAAAGATAGGTGAGTAGGAAGGTGATGGCTTTCTCCTGCCTTTAAAAAAAGTGTTCTTTATGACCTTAAATGTGGTAGCTCTTTAACTAAAACTGCTCAGATGCTTTGTCTTATGAATCCAAAATGTTAACACTTTTCTAGTTCATGGGTGTGAACTGTGACTCACAGGGGTTCCACGGGATCACCCAGTATGGGAATGCTGTAAGTAAAGGGAAAGGAGCATTGCCCCACTCAAGTTATCTCTTAAGTTCCCAGGTGGAGTGCTAAGGAGTCACATCCAGGCTTGCAGGGTGGTGGTGGTGAACCCAGGCTTCACTGCCCATCTCCTCTGTAGGTCCTCAGCACCAGGGAGTGATGGAGAGGGGTAGCAGGGGAGCTCCAAAGGGGAGGAACATTTCCAGCTGGGTTGGGCACGTTTTCCCCACACTGTTGTTCTTGCTCAGCGCTTCCTCACTCCACATAATCCTCTGTTATTTCCTCCTCCCGCCCCTGCTGCTAATTAGCCCACGATAAACTTTGGTGTGAACAAAAGCAAGCAATTAAGAATCTGTTGCTTCAGTGTGAGCCCTGTCAGAGCAGTGATTTGTTGGTGGCAGGGCTGTGCAGCACCTCCTTGGGAGGAAAACAAACCCACTAGTCCAGCTGAGCCAGTGGTGCTGGGGAGCAGTGTGTCCCAGCTGCTTGCTTTGGGGATGCAGGGATGTCTTGGGTACAAAAGGGCTTCCTGAGGCACTGAGAGATGCTGCTGATCCTGTGGCTTCAGTTTCACATGGCACAGTGCTCTCTGTGGTCACTGCCCAAGCAAGGTGGTTTGAGAAGTTACTGAGTTGTGATTGAGGTATATGAGGAGGTAGGGATTTTTTTTTCCTTTTTTTTGGAATACACACATAAACATTCTCAAACTAATAGAGGCAGAGAAATAATGGTAGAATTAAACATAAGTTTATTGAGTGGTTTGTGCTGGAAGGGACCTTAGAGATCATCTAGTTCCAATGTCCTTACCATAGGCAAGGACACCAGATTGCCAGGGCCCCATCTCTCCCAAATAAAGAGGAGGCTTAGGAAGAGGAAGCAAAAAGTGGGATTTTTGGTAGGTCCCAAGCCAAATGAGGTTTGAATGATATTTGCCAGGACTCAAGGTGTGTGTACCAAAACCTTGCAAGCTGCTTTCTTGTAACCTCAGCCCTAATACTCAAAATCTCTTCAGGTTGTCTTTGCTTGAGCAGGAAGACCTAATGGAGTAATTATTTACATGGGGTTTCACTGATGTGTGAACAGACTAAGGGAAGTTGGAGATTTTTTGGTTTGAGACTGACTTTCTTTCCAAAGCTAGAGGCAGGGTTCAAGCTGGAAAATTAAATATGAACTATTCCTGGGCAGTAAAAGCAAAGAATTTTGGAAAGCATGGGATTAACATATATCCTTTGACACACCACCCAGCTGCTTTGCCAACATTTGTGTCTGTTTCTGTTGTAGCTCTCGAGCAGCTGCTCACAGAACTTGAAGATTTTCTGAGGATACTGGACAAGGAGAACTTGAGCAGCACTGCTTTGGTGAAGAAGAGCTTCCTCTCTGACCTTCTGAAAGTCTACACCAAGTCCAGTGGTACAGACGAGGAAAACCAAGGATGGGGTGCTGGGCTGCCATGGGAACTGCTACGGGGTCTTGAAGCAACATTTTCCTGGCGGCTGGTGGGAAGAGGAGACATGAAAATTAGAAGGAGAAAATGAAACTGAGTTTATTTTTGCAGTGACCTCTAATTGTTTATGTAAAATTACTATAGTTATGTGTCCAACTTTACAAGCAAAAAATTCCCAAGATTCCTGATCCTTTCTGTTTTCCTTATTAAACCTTAAGTTTATTTAATCCACTTTGTAAGATACACAGGATGTACTGTTTGGCCAAGTTAATGTTTAAGTAGAAATTTTAACTTAAGGAATTTCCTGACCATAAAGCACTTAATTTTTCTGCTTTTTATTATTGCTTGGGGTTTTTCCTGCACATTGCCTCAACCAACGTTGCTCTCTCCAAATGTTCTCAGCAGAGACACTTTTTTACATCTGCCTTTGTGGAAAAACTTAGCGATGTGAAAGCAGCGTGTGGGTAAAGAGTTCACTTTTCCCTTTGTTTGCAGGTGGTGATGAGGAGTATATTTATATGAACAAAGTGACAGTCCATAAACAGCAGGACGACCAAGAGAAACAAGACAAAGGTAGGGAGCTGAAGACTAATGGTTTCATCGTGTCTCACGGGATGATGAAGGCACACAAGGTTAGAGCCTTGCTCTGGCAGCTCTGAGGGCTGAAGCAGCTGCTGGTTGTGGAAGGGCCATTTTCATAACATTCCCTTGGAAATAGCAGTCCTTGCCAACACTGTGAGGTTATTCCTGGAAGTAGCACTTTGGAGGTCTTTATTTTGGGATAAAAACGTTGCCTTCTAAGGCCTGAAGCTCCAGTGCCTGAAATATTCAAAGAAGCCTTCATGCTTTCTTTGGCCACAAAGCAAGTTGCTTTTTGTATCTTTGAGACCTTGAAGGTTTATTTCTTGTTTGCTGTGTTGCTCTGCTCTGGCCCAGAGGGTCGGTGTTGTCACAACCTTGCGAGGTGAGTTCGCAGGGCTCAGCCCTCACCATCTGCACGGGCAGGGCACCTTCATCTCCCAGGGATGTGAGAGCTCTGCAGAGTAAAAGCCAAGAAATTAAACCTAGATAAAATATTCATTTCCAATTTAGTTTTCCCAGCTTTTGAATTTGTAACACGGCAGAGAGCATAATTGTCTAAAAATGTTCTTCCTCTTTGAAGTTCACCATGAAAGAGGTTGCTGATAATTGCATGGAGTGAGAGTATTAGTGACACACATTTTATGAAGGCACACCTAGTCAGAGGCTGATCCTACCCCGGAGTTTCCAATGCCAAGGGATGCAACAAGGACTCATCAGTGCAGCCTGCTGCTGATGTGCTGGTCCTGCAACAGTTGGGATTGTTCCACTTCCACAGTTGTTTGTTTTGGTTTTAATTCTTTGTGGTGGGATTTTCTGTTTATTTGGTTTGATTTGTTCTTTAAACTACCTGCAGCCAAACTTGGGCTAACTTCAAATGCCTCTGAAGGCAGGATGTCCTCCGCACGTGCAGCCCCAGTGTGACCTCCAGACAGGGCCCTCCGGGTGATGCTGTAATGCTCTATAATAGGATCACACAGCCTCCCAGTAGCTCCCAGCTGCTGAGCAGCAACAGAAGCATCTTTTTATATAAGTTCTTATTTGGGTGGATAAAGCAAAGCTTGCACTGATTCACCATGCTCAAACACAGGGAAAATTTCAGACAATTTATTTTTAGAGGTGGTTCTTTTATTTCAGACTTTTCCCTATCAAGGCCATGACCCTGCCCACTCAGTCACTCCCTGTGGGACCTGGCACTTCTCTCTTTCTGTTTTCAACAACTTCCCTATTCCAAGTAAAACTTCTGACTTATTTGGAAATGCTGGATGTGTCAGTGAGACACATGTGTGGGACCTTAGCCACTGCTGCAGCTGGGTGTAGAGCCCTGATCCTGCCTCTGTAACTGGATGGAGAGGTGCTTGCAGGTTCAGGTTTAGTGGATGGAGGGGGCCCAAGTGCCCACTGGTGTGATACTGGTTTTCCAGTGATTATGCACCTCCCTCTATCCCTCTTTTCTACTGCAATTTCATGCCTGTAATGGGCATGGGGACCACACTTTTGTGGCTGAGCCGACAGGACCTTGTGCTCTGCAGAGCTTCTTCCCCACAATAGCTGTGCTCAAGCATGCTCCAGCAGCACAAGGTGAAATGCTTTCCAAAGTCCATCAGCTCCAAAAGTCACCCCTCCAAACTTTAAAATATGCGATTTCTGCGCAAAAATGTATTTCCCTGCTCCTTGTATCTACTTGCAATTTCAGTGGTATGGATTTAAGCAGAACAGACACTGCTTTTGAGATACCTTCCTGTGGCCCAGTTATGGAATTCCCTGCACTGGGTGATGAAGGCACCATCATTTAATGGATCTCATTTACCTGTGAGACACAGCAAGTCCACGGGGCTCTTCAGTGAGCCAAATGCCAACTCCTTTTGAAAGTTAGCACAAAGGGGCAGGAGTCTGGAGGTGGGACTGATGTGAAGAGCTCCTGGTGTGGCCACTGCAATCTTCTTAGCCCAAGTGCCAGGTGACATTCACTTTTACAAGGAACAGAGAGAACAGATAAGTTAATAGTTAGTACAGATTGAATTTGAGCAGGATTTTTGGATGGTTTTTCTATTTCCCCTCTTTCATCTAAATAGGCTTCAAACTGCAGGTTTTAGAGAGGCATCTTTATCAGAGGACACCTTTAAAATGTTAATGCTTGTCTAGGGAAAAATATTCCTTCCCTCCCACACCAGTAAGGAAACAGTCTGTGATTTGTGATGCTGGCATGTGTAGCTGGAGAAGGAAGGGGTATCATTGCACTGTCTCAGAGGTCATGGGATTTGGGCACTCGTTGAGGCCACCCAGGAGTTCTGTAGTAGGAGAAAGGGGACTGAACACAAGATTTCTGAGCTTTCAATGTACCCTGCAGATATTAAATCACTCTGCATTCAGCTGCTTGGAAAATCTGAGTTTCCAGAGGCAGACACAGATCACCTGGAGCAGTTCTACTGCCATTTGCCTATCCTTGTGTTTGGCCTGGGCGGGTTCAGGAGCAACCTTCTCTTGGGCAGTGATTACACCACTGACCATGGCTGGCTTTGATAAGCCACTGTGCACTCAGCTAAACAGCCACCTTTGCAGTTTGCCGTGGGAGCAGGATGGTACTAGATCCATCTTCTGGGAAAGGTAGCAGAGGAGCAGACGGTCACCGACCTGTCTGCTCACAGCAGCAGGGATCAGAGCTAGAACTAAAGTGCTATGGGTTTCCAGACACTGTGGTGTCTGCCCATGCTGCTTCTTAAGACCCTTTGAAGTCTCAGCAGCGGGTCTAGCCTTCACAGTTTTCCTCCAGAAGGAAAAACATGCACTAAAACCAGAGGTCAGCTCTTTTGCTGCATCTTCCAGTGCCACATTCCTGGCTATGGCCTGAAATGACATGGTGGACCTGCAGCCCTGCCTGTAATTGTCACTTTCCTCCCCACTGAAATAGCATCTTGCTGCTCCAGCACAGCCCAGGGTAGCAAGTGCTCTGCTGGGAGATGCCACGTGTCATTTATAGAATTGTTTCTGCCTTGCAGTGCTGGATCAGAAGAGCTCCCTGACCAATGGAGACTCAGGACTGCATTTGTTACCTCCTCAGAAGAGCCTGCCAGACCTCCCCCCTCCAAAGGTAAGTTTTTCACACCCCTTGCTTTTCACTGCCTCAGCTTGGGGCTCTGAACCCCTTGCGGCTTCACTTTTGTCATGTCCTTTGCATCATGACCGGGTGGAAAGACCTCTGCCTGTGTATGTTAGTGAGGCAAAGAGTCCTGGTGAGCTTTATTTTAAAAATAATAACAAAACATCGAACTAGGGATTTCCAGGTGTATGTTCCATGTTTCCAAAGACCATGGGTTAGTATGTGGTTGGTGCAGCTGGATGGTGGCCTGGGGTGGCTGGATGCCCAGGAATCCCTGTGGTTCCCAAAACTTGTGCACAGGTGGAGTAGGCAGCTGTGGGAGCACCCTGTGAGTGTGCAAATTGGGCTGTGCTCCCTGCCAGGGAGAGCCACCCCCACTGCATGGCACTCCAGGCTCAAGAAAGGACCTCTCCTCTGCTGCAGCCCTGGCAGCTGTTCTCTTCCCACAGCCATCCACAGGGAAAGTCCTGTGGTACGGATGCAGACACCCAAGGTGGTTATATTTGCATGCTCATTGTGCCATAATGCAACAGGCAAATGTTCTGCAAGGGCCAGCGTTGTTAAATAACACAATATATTGCCTTTGACTTATGTTAGAGAGTAAACCACTCCACACCCCTAAGGAAAAAGACAAAACAAATACCTTCTGAGGCAGCCAAGGTGCACCCTGTTGGCTTTCATTGTCTGTAGGAAACAAAGCCGAGCAGCCCCTTCCCTGACAGTTGTGGGATGGTGTCAAAAAACCCACAGCGTTTCTTTGTGTAGGCAGTTTGTTTATGGTCACAGCACAAAGTGAGCTGGCTACATGCAGGAGGCCACCACAGATGGCAATTACAGACACATTTCCTAGCCAGGGGAGGGATTCAGTAAAGCCCTGGAGTGACTGGGTTTGTTTTTCTTTCTTTAATGTAACACATTAGGGCAAGAAGTTCCTAAACCTTTTAAGAGTTTGGAGGGCAAGTGTTTTCCAGCAGTGTTTTATGTGTCTCTGCAAGGAAAGTTCAGCCTGCTCACAGCATCTGGCAAGAAGGGAGTTTTAACACTGGAGAAGTCTGGGAGGCTGGCAGAGCCATGGGCAGCTCGCCCAAGTGGGAACAGACGCGTGACTTTGGTGTGGTCAGAGTTCCTCACTCCCACAGGCCCAACAGCTTCCCTTTGTGGGCGGCTGTTGGCCACAGAATCTTTTCCTTCAAAGCTTCCTTTCTGCTTCTGGGCACCAGTAGCTGCTGGTGAAAACATCTGGGGCAGGATGGGCAGCTTTGCACCTGCATTGGATGACGTTGGCATGACCTGCAAATGGCCTGATCTTGCCTTGGGCTGCTCTGTGATGCTGATGCACAGCTGGCCCCTCTTCCCCAGGGAGCAGTCGTGGGTTGGCACAGTGCACTATTTGTGACCTTCAACACTGCTGGCTCTGCAGAGAGACCTGCTTTGTGCCCCTCCTCATGGGGGGAGTGGGGCTTTAACCCCGGGCATCCTGTCAGGGTTGGCACAGCCTCAGTTGGGTCAGGTGAAGCACTGCAAGACAGAGCATCCTGTTGTCAGATGGTTGAGGGTGGTATGACCTTGCTGAGGAGCAGGGACACCTCACTGGGGAGTAGGGGAATGCTAGTGTCAGGTCAGGGTGGGAGATGGGATGCCAGGTATTTGGGAAGACCATAAGCTCTTTGCTTATCCTACTGGTCTGTTTGTGCTGCTGCTTTGCTGTGTCATGTGCCACATCTGCGTGAATCACCTGAAAAGTAAAAAGTTTGTTTCTTAACTTCACTTTTTTTTTCCTCATGTATTGATATTTCTAAAGGATCAGGGCATGTTTTTCCTGCCAGCCCTTCCTTGTGTTTTGGGAGGGGTTTGGCAGGCACCACAGGGATTTTCCAGCACTTGGACTCTTTTCAAAGGCTTATTTTCCATTGGTGTTGTTTATCCGTTTCCTTAATTTTTTGTTAAGAGCACAATTAAAGATTCCCAACACAGTTTCTAAAGCAGAGATTTTTAGCTGTTAGTTGCTATCAGTCAGAGACTTGGAGACACAACCAGAGACTGCTCTGTTTATGTTTTCAGTGTAAAGCCAGGGTTGCACCAATTGTCCTCCCTTCTGGTTCCCTGATAAGATAATCCATAGCACAGGGGACCATCCTCAGTTACCATGGGCAGTTTAGGAGTATCAGTGCAGCAGGCAGAAATCTCAGTTCATGGTAAGGCTGATTGGTTGCAATTGCTGCTATGAGTTGATCTTCCCATGGCTTTCAGCAACATGAAAGTAACATTTATGGTGCAATTATACAATAATTTCAATTTATATTTGAGCTAACTGTACCACATCTAAAAGATTTCATCCATTGGGGTACACTTGAGGTACCTTGGGGTACAAAAAAAGGGAAAAGGATGCTCTCTTGTTTTGAAGGATCCATCTTTACCTTAAATTGTGTTTCTTCTATGTGTTTATTCTGCAGATTCTCGAAACAAAACAACCTGCAGTCCCCAAGATTGAATCTCCAGAGGGATATTATGAAGAGGCTGAGCCCTATGACGTCTCTGTAAATGGTATATCCCAGCTAAACCTTGGGAGGGGGCTCATGTGGGAGATGGAGGACTTGAGGTTTATGAGAATCAGTAAATGAAAGCACTGATATTTCATACAGCTTTTGGGACACATTTGTTTTCTGCTGTTCATCACACTTGGTATTACAGACCTAATGCTAGCTGGAAAGCAAAGACTACTGAATTACTCCAATTTTTAATTTTTCCTGTAGAAGTTAGTAATATGCTTGGGTCAATATAGCATCAGTGTAAAATGTTAGAAACCATTGTGAGTCCTCTTTGTCTTGGTGATTTTCTGGCAGATAGACTGCAGTCAAACACAAGTTTCTATTCAGGACTGAGTGGTGAAGCTGTGGTGGCTTGCATTCGTGTCCTAGCACTCTGATTGTCCCCTTGGGGCTCAAAATCCATGGCTCTGCTGGTCTGTTAGGAGTGATAACTGTTTTTATAATTGGCTCTTTATTCAGCTCTGTCTCTTGTGGCAGTTTAACCATCTGTAAGCTTGATTAGAAAGCCAGGCTTCGTGTGTGGGGAAAGCATGTGGGTTCCCTTGCACACACTCGCTCATGGCCTGGGACAGCACCCAGCCGTGTCCTGGAGCAGTGCCACCCGTGGCTGTTCCCTCTGGGAGGAGGCTGCTGCATGCTGAACTCCCACATTCTCACTTTTTACCAGGTATTCCTGCATCCTTTTGTTGAACACCCTTCACTGAGAGATTGCCTTCCTCTGATCTGATAGCTGAGCTGATCTTGTCATCACTTTATAATCCATTTAAGAGATAGATTATATCACCCCACTGCAGAGGCACATCTCTGCTCATCTGCCTTGGCTGCAGCAGAGTGTGTGGCATGGGCAGAGCTGAGTGGCAAGAGTTGAGGCAAGCAAAGAAGTGAGAGTTAAGGGTGAAAGATTGGGATCCAAATCCTTGGCTGTTGAATCTGGGCTTCATCTGGGAGAAGCTGGGTTCTCTCTAGCCCCAGTGTAAACTACTGGGCTTTGAATCTCCATGTCAGTGAACAGAAGATAGTGCCCAGCTCAGGTGGGAAAAGGTTCAGGCTCATTGTGGCCCGGGTGAAAGGTGCAGTTTCAATGCAGAGGAGAGGCCCCTCTGGCTCTGCCCTGTGTTTTGCTGAAAGACTCTGGGTCATTTGGCTGAGGTGAGGGCTGTGAAGCCCTGCTGCAGCTGGGGCAGTCCAGGCTGCTGCAGCCTCATCCCTGTGCCTGCAATGGAAGATAAAGGAGATTTCTTTTCCCCTCCTGCATGCTACACTGCACACTGGGGAAGTGGATAAATTATTCAGAGCCATGGCATAAAAAGGCACACACCAGATTAGCTGGAATGCAGCCATGGATCCATGTGCTGGGATACCCAGCTTGTGTTACCCGTGCAGCTCCATAAACTTGCCCTCAGTTCAGAGACTTGGCTGGCAAGAATGAGAAGTGCATACCCAGCTCCCACCTCTTTTCCTTGGTAACCTGCTGGTCCAAGACACAAATACACCCACCACCCACTGAAATCTAGATGCTTAAGGAAATGAGAGATCAGAGCTCTGCAAAAAGAGAAAAGCACAAATGATGAGAGCACTGTCCAGATGAGGCTGCTGTGATCAGCTGTTGCACCAGCAGGCTCCGTGTTTTACTGAGCACTATCAGAGCTGTAAGTGGAGATAGGCTCCTATCCTGTGAAGCCAGGAGAGATGGGACAGAGGATTTCAGTGATTCCTCACCACTGAGGTGTGTGGTGCCTTTGCATCCTGAGATTGCTCAGCCACCGGTCCCCTCCCCACCACATCCCTTCTCCACAAACCTCCTGATGTGCTACAAAGTATGTTTTGTGTGAGGAGGAAGGAATCATCGTGAGAATCTCTGTCCTGTTCAGGAACCTCATGTTGGAGGTGGTTCCTTGCAGGGTGAGCCAGAAGGAGCAGGGAGAGATGTGGAGCAGCAGGTATGTGGCAGGAGAGGCTGTGGGGGCTCAGGAGAAGGTGAAGTGTGGTGTGCTGTGCACAGGGGAGCTGGGCAGTGATGCTGGTGCCCTGGTTTGCCTCAAGAAATCATACTGCAGCATGTGGGAAAACCTGCAGGTCTCTGTCCTGTGTTTCTACAAGCACAGGCTCCCCATCCCTTCCCTCTGCCCGACCCTGTGCCCTATCAGATGTCAGTGATACTTTGTACCTGTCCTACAGAGTGATGCTCACTGCTAGCAAATCATCTGGGACCTTGGTGTGACTGCTATTGCTAAAGAGCAGTCTGGACATGCATGGCTTTGTTCTGGCCCCAGTAACCCCCCAAAGCCCTCTGTGCCTTTCCCTACAAGCTGCATAGGGAGGGGGTGGCAGTCCAGGAAGCTGCTGGTGGTCTTTCATAGAATCACAGAATGGCCTGGCTTGGAAGGGACTTTAAAAATCATCTCGTTCCAACACCCCTGCCATGTACAGGAACACCTTTCACTAGACCAGGTTGCTCAGAGCTCCAGCCAGCCTTGCCTTGAACCCTTCCAGGGCTGGGGCATCCACAGCCTCTCTGAGCAACCTGTGCCAGTTCCTCATCATGTTTACACTAACAACTTTTTTTCCTAAAATCTAAGCTAAACCTACACTCTCTCAGTTTGAATCCATTTCCCCTTGTCCTGTCACTGTAAGCTCTTGTGAAAAGCCCCTCTGCGATACTGTTTCTGACAGTGTTGCAGCATGAGCCTTGGAAGACACCCATGTGTCCCCAAACAAATGGGCGTAGTGAGATCAGACAAAAATAGGAACAGCACTAAAATAAGTGGGTGCACTGCCAAGAAAGGACATCAAAGCAAGCCTCCAGATGGGCTGAGGAGATAGAGGTTTCGTGCACCATCAGAGGTGGGACTGCGAGGCACTGTAGCAAACCATGAGTGAATTAATTAAAACAAAGCAAGTGGGTGAGTCTGCTGGGTCTCGAGGTCCATCTTTCAGCAGCAGCATTCCCACCCCTCCAGTGGGGATGCTCTGCCTTATATTTTCCAGCTCCAGCAGAGGCTGCTCTTCCCTTCCCTCTTGGGCTGAAATGTGTTAAACCCTTATCAGCAGCCTTTGCATAATTGGAGGGTGCGATAAGGAGCAGAGTGAAAACTGAGAGGGGCAGTGTGGCTGCCAACTGAGCAATAATTATTCTGGCTGAAACAGCTCATCGGCCCTGGCTGCTTTTAATTGCGATGACAATGATTCTGTTTTAAAGGGAATTGCCTTGTTTGAGGGGATGGGTTGAAAATGCTGTCCCTGTTTGAAGTCTCAGCCTACGCAGGTGTGCAGGGATGGGACAGCCTCACTGGCTGAGGGGATTGACACCATTGTTGTTCTCTGCATTTGCTTATCTGTGGCTTTCTCTCTTTGTCTCCCTTTCTCTTTCTTTTTGACTGTGCAGGTCTTTTTGGTAGGCTTGCTGCGGCTGGACCCAGGCCAGGGTTGCAGGTTACTGAGGGCGTTATTTATGCCACAATAACCATGGGTATGGCATGCTTTCCAAACCTGAAGTGCCTTTTTTAAACAAAAATAGCAAAAAAGCACCCCAAAATATCCCCCAAAAACTCAGTTTTAGCAAAGATCATCCCTGGATTTACCTGTTACATGCATGGAGGGTAACCACCTCTCCCTGTTTTGCACAAAGCATTATTTTTTGTGGCTTTCCCTGTGCTCAGGACGGCAATGAAGAGAACTTCCCCAGCTTTTATTCCCCTTCTGTCACTGGTGTGGAGCTGATGTGTGGTAATGCTGGCTGTATTGACAAGTAGCTGTTATTGAAGGTGCTCCACTGAGGCAAAGGCAGTATAAGATGTCTGAGCTTCCTGCATCATGGCTTTGATTTAGCTCCCTGGGAGCTCATGGGAAGACCCACAGGAAAGCAGAGGTGGATTTACATAAAGACATCCAAGATTGTGGCTGCCATTGATGCCTGAGCTATACAATTTGGGACTGAGTGAGCCTTAGTAGTGATCACAGGATTGTCACAAGCCACCAGGCAAGGCTTGTCCCAGTTTGTCTGGTAAATGCCTTTCCTTCATGAGGCTGCAGCAGTGTCACCAGGACAGAAGTTGTTGTAGCTCTTCAAGTAGGGAGGAGCTCATCTCATGAGAGGAACCACAGTTGTGGTTGTGGTCGATGCACAGAAGAGAATCCAGGACTTCTCAGGAGTAAGGTGGCAGCCTGAGACCTACTGCTTAGGTGGGGGCACTAGAGACTTCCAAAAGAGGCCAGAGGAGTGGTTAGTGATACCCCCACGTGGATAAGGAGGGAGTTTTGGGAGATGATGTTCCCTTAGGCATCCTTGCTGCTGCTACATATGGAGAGGTCCTGTAGCTGCACAGAGGTTCAGCTTCTTGGTGTTTGTAGGGTTGAGAAATGCCTACATTTTTACTCCATTTGAATTTCTGTGCAGGGGGCCTGTGGACAAGGTCTGCAAAATGAGAATGCACTGTGTGAGGGGTAAAGTTTTCCCATAAAAGATGGACAGTTTGATACATTGAGGGCATGGAGATGGTGAGGCAGTAGTGTGCTCCATTCAGAGACTTCAAAGGGGAGTATTTGCTTTTCAGAAAATTTGTTTAATTGTTGCAGTTTTGATCACTTGAGGGAGGTTGTAGAGTGAAATTTACTGGGGGTAAGAGCATAGCTTTGTTACTGCATCTCAGTTCCTTTTATTTAAAGAACAAACCCAACTGAAACGTTCTTCAGTGAAGCTCCTAATGCCTTTTTCATTCTCTTTTCTGACTGCTTTTATTCTTTTAATTTGCACCAATGTTATTTTTATGTAGGTAGTAAGATTTTGGTGAGAATCCAAGTGAGATTAAATTCCAGTGAGAGAAACTTAACAATATTCCTCCATGCTGTTTGGTAGGACAAGAGTACCAAACCCTACACAAATGTTGCCCCAATCTTAACCATCTTGCTCTGTAAGTTTATCTTGTGACTCAGAGCTCTAAATGCCAGCAGAATTTTGGAAAACCCCCTGCAATCAGGGAGAAAATTTTCAGTGTTTTTGATGAGCCTGGTACCACTGATCAGCTGAAAACTCCAATAATCTGCAGTGCCTTAGAGCTGAGTATTGAAAATTCCAACTCATCCTAGTAACACAGCAATCCATTTAAGAATGGACATAAAAAATGTTGCTACTTCTTCTCACATTTGCCACTGATGACTATTTTTTGGTGCTGCAACAGTATTACTTCAAAGCCTTTGATACTGAGTAGAGAGAGAGGGACCTGGTGGACCAGAGAGGGAAAGTGAATGACATCTCCAGTGCAATAGATCATTGCTTGCTGCATGGCCTTGCAAATACCATTTTTACTTACGGCATTTAGAGGACAAGGGCTGATTGTAGCTTGCTGTTGTCTTAAACATTGTGAGTGTTTGGCTTGAAGTTGCTAGTAAAAGCATCTTTGGGGGAAAAGCAGCAAACATCAGGAAATGTCTGAGGGAATGTTCTCAAGTTTGTGGTCAACTGAGAAGTGTCTTTTGAGTGTTTGCTAACAGAGCCCATTAGGCACAAAATACTGCAATGAGATTCATAATGGGCTAGAAAGAAAAAAAGGATCTATGAGGGTACTTTTTGTATTAATCATCCTCCTGTAGGAGTGCCTCAAAAGACACATCCCTGCACTGGAAGCTTGTGCATGTGTGAGCATGGCTGAGGGAAGCATTTGACTCTGAGTAATTCTAAAAATGGATTTAATGATAGAGCTTTGATTTTGTTATAGAAGATGGTGAAGCCGTTAGTAGTTCCTATGAATCTTACGATGAGGAAGAGAGCAGCAAAGGCAAGTCAGCAACCCATCAGTGGCCATCCCCAGAGGCCACCATTGAGCTGATGAAGGATGCCCGCATCTGTGCCTTCCTGTGGAGAAAGAAGTGGCTGGGACAGTGGGCAAAACAGCTGTGTGTTATCAAGGACACCAGGTTGCTGGTGAGCAGATCCTCTAGTTTCTCTCTAAAATAATCTGGTTTTATGAGCTGGGGAAGGAAGTGGCACCTCAGACCTTGTTAATGAGCTGGCAAAAACCAAAGTACCCCTAGAAGCAATGCTTCAAAAACCATGTCCTGGAGATTTGGGGATCTTGTTCCATTTTCAGAAGGAATGTGGACATGAGATTGCTGAAGGGGGCACAAGGACACATTTGTGACCAAAATACCAATCCCCCAAAATGTCTAGGGATACTTTTTGGGGAAACTGTTAGAGGTGGTTAAGCAGAAGGGATACCTATCCCAGAGGCTAACCACATACATGGTCCAGTGTCAGTAAAAGGTATTTCAGACAATGTATGCATGCAGTCAGATGTATGTGTACCTGTACATACAGGGATCTCCTGTGTGTAGTCTGTGCAGACTTCTTAGAACTGTAGTACCTTTTTGTGCTCAGTGCACTTAGTGCGTGTGGCTGCATGAGTCCCTTACAGGGTTGAGTTCAGAGCAGGAAGGTTCCTCCTCTGCCTCTCACCTGTTCCTGTCTTCCTTCCCCAGTGCTACAAGAGCTCCAAAGACCACAACCCCCAGCTCGACGTGAATTTGCTGGGCTGCACTGTCATTCACAAGGAAAAGCAAGTGAGGAAGAAAGAGCACAAGCTGAAGATCATCCCCACGAACGCTGATGTCATCGTGCTGGGGCTGCAGAGCAAAGACCAGGCAGAACAGTGGCTCAGGGTCAGTGACACCTTCAGGACTTGTCCCACTGGTGCTCCCATGCTTTGCTGGGAGATCAGTTCTTATCTCAGCCCTGTCCCTGCTCTGGCTCCCTTCTTCACTGCAAGCCTTTATACAAATATACCACTTCATTTTCATGTCCTGGGATAGATTTTTCCTGCAGCTCCCTGCAGCCTTCAGTGTGCTGGAGGCCACGTGGGGACCTCCCAGCCCAGCTGCTGGGGCAGGGCTGGGAAATGTCTGGGGTGGGTCCCCAGCATGAATTTGCTGAGGGCAGGGGTAAATGCAGCCCTTCCCTCGAGACAGTAGCAGGAGGAGGAGCCTCCTGGAACCCAGGACAGCCACGGGGCTGTGAGACACCAGGGCTGCCTTTGCTGGCAGCCTCTCCCAGTGACTTGGATCCAACACTTTCTGCTGGATGCCTGATGCAACACCAGGATGGTCCCCAGGGTCACAGGGACAGTAAACCATGGGTCTCCCAGCCTGATGTGGTCTTTCCTGTCATAGCTAGGGGAGATGAATTGATCCTGTTACTGCAGCTCTTACAGGCTTTGGCTTTCCCTTCTGCACAGGTAATCCAAGAGACCAGTGGTCTGCTTTGTGAAGGAGGCAGTGAAGGCAACCAGTACATCCCAGACTCACAGCGTCTCGGTTACCCAAAGGTACATCTTGTCTCTATAGACAGAACTGGCACTTAGGCTTTCCAGCCCTTTCCTTCAATAGATAGTAGTGTAGGTGCCTTAATTTTAGGTAAGCAAAGACTGATAGGAGTGTAACCAGACCCCTGTGCTGCTGAAAAGGAGCATTCTTGGAACCATCTTAATTTTCCTTTGCATCTTAGTTTTGTTGCCATATCTTCCCTCCCAGACTAACTCAGCATTTGGCTACCAGCTATCTAGGGCAGCATCTTCTATCTCATCCAGTGAGGTGGTTGTGTTCACCAAGAGCTTTGGGAGAAACATAGACCCTTGGATGCCAGGGCTTGGGTTATCTCTTAGTCCAGGTTTAGGTGACAGTCCCCTGGGAGCAGCTCATTCCAAAACAGTGGGAGGACAAAGAGACTTTCCTAAGTCTCTGGTGGACACCCAAAATGGACCTGTTTGGGCACCTGGCTGGTTCCTCTGCCCATGCCCCCTACAGGGACTGCCAAATGCCCCCACCAGCCAGGCTGCAGGGTAGGAGGCCACAGGGTGGCACTGGTGATGCCTCTGTGTCTCCTCAGAGGTGAGCCCAGCTGGGGCATGTTCAGGAACAATGGGAACGGCACAGTGTGCGTGAGCTGGCTGGGGATGCCTGGGTGAAAGCATCTTCTACAAGAGAGAGCGAGACCTCATAATATGGGAGAAGGACTGCAGCACATTCTGGCTGGAAGAATGGGTCACCTGCATCTGTGGAGCTTGTGCCTGTGCTTGTTACAGGTGGAGGTGTCTGAGAGATACTCTGCAGCCTCCGAGAGCGGGAGCAGCACCGATGGCCACATGGAGACAGCCGAGACAAAAGATGGTAAAACTTTGCCCTGGGAATGACAGGGAAAACAGGCCCTTGACCCTGCCTGGGGCCAGGGCTGCTGTAGCTCCTGTCACTGCCACCTCAAACAGACCTATGAAAGCGGTGTGTGCATTCATTGCCTGGGAATTTGATATTCTTACCAGGATTACCTGTTGGTTCCATAAGCTTATTCACACACTGACTGATGTGCACAGTAGGAGAATTTTGAAGAGCCTCTTTGGACATAAACTTGCCCCCCCCCCACCTGTGTCCCTCTTTAGAGAGGAAAGGACTTGCATACAGTAAATAAGTAATGGTTCTTAATTAAATATTTCGTGGTGTAGGAAAGTGAAGGGAGGCTGGTACCTGCCCAGCAAGAGCTATGCAAGCAGCTGCCACTGCTCCTGCAGTGACTGGCCTTTGGTCAGAGCCAACCCATGTGTAAAGTAATACAGATTAGCATCTTCCACAAATCCCTAGCTGATCTTACTGGTGCCACCTTGCTCCTGAACTCCCTGGGCTTTGGAGTTTTCCAGCCTGTCCCTGAGTCACAGGTTTTCCCTCTGCAAGGGATGTGTGTGAGGTGAGGGCAGGACCCCCAGCTGGGACAGCAGGCTGGGAGCTGGGAAAGCCATGCATGTGTCTTTTTCATTTCTGCTAGTTAAGAAGAAGGGCACAACTGGCCTGAAACTGAGCAACCTGATGAACCTCGGGAGGAAGAAGTCCAGCTCCCTGGATAGCCCAGAGAGATCCCTGGAGACTTCAAGTAAGTGGCAGTATGAGTCCCTCTGCAGGGACTTGTCTCAAGGCTGGATCTCAGTGTGCAGCACAGGATGAGCACCAGGCATCATCCTCAAGCATGCCTATGCCAGGTGGTCCTGCCAGTAAATCCATACAGATTGTGGTGCCTGTGGCTCTCAGAGTGACCCAAGAGGAAGGGTGGGTATATACCAGACATGCACACACAGGGCATTTGTGCTGCCCAGGGTGTGGGAGCCTGCAGGGAGAGTTGTGAGGATCAGCTTAAATGTATTTACCACCTGGGACCAACTTTGGACAGCCATCTGCAGCCAACTTGCTGCTCCAAACCTATCCTGAATCTTAAGGGTCTCATTTTCAAGATTTTACCCTTTTCACCCTGCTTTGTATGGATAGGACAGCTTGTCTTTGTGCTTTTGCTCTTTATTGGTGCCTGTGGCTTTGTGTTGTGTGATCTCATAGCTGACCTCTTAGACATCCCCAGGCACACAAATTAATATGGGTTAAATGGAAAATGTGTCTAAGTAACCTGTTCTTACTTGCAGGTTACCTGAACGTGCTGGTGAACAGCCAGTGGAAGTCCCGGTGGTGTCAGATAAAAGATGGACACCTCCATTTCTACCAGGACAAGAACCGAAGCAAACTGGCTCAGCAGCCCCTGAGCTTGGCAGGCTGTGAAATCATCCCAGAGCCGAGCCCTGACCATCTTTACTCCTTCCGCATCCTGCACAACGGCGAGGAACGGGTTGTTTTGGAGGTAGGGTGTGCATCTCTGAGGAAGCTCTGCTTAAAATCATCATGTGGGGTCTTCTGGAGATTCCCATCTCTCTCCCCTGACTGCAGGATAACCTTAGATAATTAAGTTCTGTGCAGTGCATTGGTTAATGTTAGATAAGAATGCCACTTTAGGGATTTAAGGCTGTGGTTAGAAGGAACAGAGAACTTCATCTTTTGACAGCAGAGCCCCAAAGCCATGGGTCACACATCCCAAGTAAGCCTGTCACAGATCTGCCCCTGAAAGTGCAAGTGAATTCATCTCCATCTGTTACTTTCTTATGCCTGCATCCAGGACTGTTTCTCTCTAATCTTACTTCTCTCTGACGACAGCATGATTATAGTAGGAGGTGGACAATGTGAGCAATTTCCTGTATTTTTTTAGTGGGTGGAATATTTATAGCTAAACAACTGACTTTGAGGGCATGCCTGGAAATTGGAAGATGTTTTTGTTTAGTTTCTGATTCAGGGTATGTCTGTATCTAAGAAATTTTGCCCAATTACAGATGTAAAGAAGAGGTGCTGGGAAAATTTACATTTTGTGAATGGAAGAATCTGTATTTTGTTGGGATGTCAGACTCAATGTCAGACTCCATGTATGGACTGGCTGGCTGGCAGGCTTCCCAGGGATTGAAGTCTCTGCTAAATAAAACAGACTGAAAGCTTAAAAGATACTTTCCAGTTTGGGAAGTGTATATATACTCACTTGCCCTGAACTTTACTTTGTGGTTACTGCTCTGACTCCTCAAATCAATGCAAAAAGTGGCTGCATTAGCCAACTTCTTGCTTCAGGTGTAGTCCCCTGCATTGGGAGGTGCATGTGGCTCTTTGCTAGAGCTGACTTCATGGCCTAGAATTTAACTCTTCATGTTGCAAAATGTCAGACTGCTCACTGCAGCTCGGAATTGGCTACTGACCATGTTAAAGCAACGGTCTGATGCTTTAAACTCTTCCCTTCTCTTCTCCCCTCTGCAAAGAGCCATGGAAAGGGTTTGTGCTCTGGCAGTGGGACCTCACAGGCTCGGGTCTCCTTGCCTCTGCTTTGGCAATCCCATTGCTGCACTCTGCTGGTGCAAAATAAAAGCCGCATGCTTTTCTCACCCAAAGCTGCTCCCTGCAGACATCCGGCCCCAGAGACATCTCTTACTCTTGTGGACAGCTGAGCTGATCACCACTGAAAGGAAAATGCAGACTAACTAGAAATTTTAGGAAGGAGCAGAGCAAAGAACTGCATTTATTTGGCTGCCATATTTTTGAATCAGTCCATCCATAGAGCTGTACTTTTAAGGCAGCCTTAGGTTTATTATAAATACCCAGCAGTTCATCTTTCCCCTTGGAAGCTCGGGCCAGCATGCTTCCCTACCCAGTCTAAGCCAGCATCAGCCCTGTGAGTGTAGAGGAACCACTGCTGCAACCTGTCCTGTATCTGATCACCCTGCAGGCAAAGTCCTCAGAGGAAATGGGCCACTGGCTGGGCCTCCTCTTGTCGGAGTCAGGCTCGAAAACAGACCCAGAGGAATTTACCTACGATTACGTGGATGCTGACAGGGTTTCCTGCATTGTGAGCGCTGCGAAAAATTCCTTCTTGTATGTCACTGGTAATGGGTTGGGGCTGCGTGGGGCTGGTAGAGGGGACGCAAGCCAGAGCAGGGGGCTTTGGCTGCCATGGAAATAGGTGGTAAATTCACAGCTGCAGCTTTCTTTTGGGACAGGAGAGCACTTCCTGTCCCACCAGGGTGCATCTGGCCTGAGCTGCAGCTCTCCATGGGGCACATGCATGAGTGGCTGTTGCAAAAGCAGGGGCATCTCCAGATGGCCACCCAGTCCATCATACTACTGGGGCAGAGCAGCTGTGCTGCTGTGGCTGAGGGCTGGGCAGGAAAGGAATGAGCCCAGGGGAAATACAGCCCCACTCTGGTGGGTGCTGCTTAATGGGCAGCAGCAGCAGTGACCACACTGCTTTGTATGGCTCTGCCTTCTCCTCTGAATCTGCCTGGCCTTGCCCACACCTCAGGACTGGTGTTCTCAGATGTCTAAAAATGCAGCACTGCTGAGCCATGCAGCAAATCCAGTCCCCCTGATGGGATGTCCTGCTGCCTGTTCACAGCCTAATGCAGAGGAAATACTCTGAACCCAACGCCTACATCGACAACCTGCCCAAGGGCAGGCTGCAGCAGGACGAGCTGTACGACGATGTGGATCTGCCGGACATGCCTGTGGTGAGACAGATGCCCTGCTGCAGGGAGCTCTGGGGGGACTGTGGCAAACATCTGGCCATGGGGAGCCTCCAGCAGTGAATGGGAGGGCTCCCCAGCAGTGGTGAAGGGGACTCCTAGCCCCTGTGGAAATCCTGGCCTTTGCAATGGAGCAAGTGGTGGAGAGGAGTTGCTAAGGAATGGAAGAGAGGTTTCCAGAAAGGGGCTGTAGGGATCCTCAGGCAGCTGGGATAAAATTCCACAGTTTTCATCAGCGTGATAATGGGCTTTTTGGAGCCTAGCCTTTCAAAATTCCTTTTTATGCCTGTAAGAGCAAGTCCTGTGTGAAAAGACAAGAGCAGTGGATCATACTGGGAATGGGACTGTTAACTCAGGAAAGGCAAAGAGTGTGGCATGGTTTGCTGGATGTACAACAGTGATGTCCTTGCATGGGGCTGCTCCTACCATGAGAGACCTGTTGAAGGAAAACAGGAGGGGCCTTTCCTTCAGTACTTCCAAAAGCCCTCTGTGGAATGACTCAAAGACTGGCATTTTAATTCCTCTAAGATTTTTGGAAAATACTCCAGATTGCCTGAGAGAGTTCTGCTCTGCAGTGAGATGTTTCTTGTACTTCCAGTTGCAGCAGATGGTCTCTTTTGCAGGAAGAACTACCCAAGAGTGAGAGCAAATTGGAGGCGGACCAAGACAGAGTGTATCTGGATCTCACCCCAGTGAAGACCTTACTACACTGTGCTGGCAAGATGTCATGCCAGTCTTCACCCCTCAGCTCACCCTCTCTAGAAAGGGCTGCCAGCAAGGCTGCCCCAGAGAGCACAGCTGAGACAGCCCCTGTGGCTAAGGAAGCTGAGCCCTGTACTAAGGCAGCAGAGACCTCGGAGCAGGTACTGTCCAAACTGTGATGCCAGGCCAGGCTTAATCACTGAGCCAGTTCCCTACACCTCATCATCCCACTTCATTTCTCCTTTCCAGAAACACCCAGAGAAGCCAGAGCCTGAGGAGGTTCTGCCACGAGTGCCTGCTGTCAAAATCCAGACCCAGCAGCAGAACACTGCCTTCCCCCAGGTGGGCCTCGAGGTGCCAGCGGGCACAGTTCCAGCAGGCAGTCCCCAGCTGGTGCCTGCACACCGGCCCAAGATGCCACTGCCAGGTGAGTGTGCTGCTCAGGTGGCCCGAGGGTGCTTAAAGAGAGCTGGAGCCCTTTCATTTGACTTGGCTCTGCTCTACAGCAGTCTGTGAGCTGACTCTAGTGGTTGGTGACTTTTCAGGCTTTCCCTCGTTTTCTTTTCAAGCACCTGAAAAGGTTTTCTCCCTCCTGCTTTTTTTCCCCTGACTGACCCTGTTGTTGGTGGGCTGTGTTTCCAGCAGCAGCAGTGGAAACCAAGCTGGGCAAGAACAGGACAGAGGCAGAGGTGAAACGGTTCACAGAGGAGAAGGAACGGCTGGAGAAGGAGAAGGATGAAATCCGAGCTCAGCTCACCCAGCTGCGCAAGGAGAGGCGGGAACTGAAGGAGATGCTTGGTGGCAGCACAGGTAGGGCAGGGCAAGGTGGGATGTGTGGAAATGAGCCAAGGTGGGGCCATGGAGAAAGAGGGGGCAATGAACCTGGTCCTCCTGGGACCAGAAGAGATGGGGGAACCTGGTGCTTTGAGACAAACCACATCACCCAGATTGCACTAGAGCAAGAGCCACAGTCCCTCTTGGGGCAAAACACAAGGAAAATGTGCAGGGCATGCCCTGATCCCTGCTCCCCTCAGGAGCTCCCCAGGTTCCCAGTAAGCCCCAAGATTCCTCTCTCTTCACAGACAAGAGCCTGGAGCAGAGGCTGAAGGAGATAGATGAAGAATGCAAAAGGAAGGAAAGCCAGAGGGTGGACCTGGAGCTGAGCCTGGTGGAGGTGAAAGAGAACCTGAAGAAGGCAGAGTCTGGCCCAGTGACCCTGGGCACGGCCGTGGATACCACCCATCTGGAGAACGCAGCCCCACGGGTATGTGGGGCACCCCTGGGATGCACAGCAGCTTTCTGGCAGCTGGGCAGTCACGCAGTCTCAGCCTGCTTAAAAATGTAATAATTAATAACAGCATCATTAGTGTAATATGCAGTCTTGTATAAATGTATAGCTTATATGTATGTATTATATATATAATATACATAATGCAATAATAATCTAATGAAGTTAACAGCAGTAATGGGGAAGTGAAAGGTGGATGGGGCTCAGGAGAGTGGTTGTATTTTCCTGTGGGACCTTGAGCGACACCCTCCAGAGCCACACAGGTCAGAACTCAGCTCCTGCACTTGGCTGAGCTCAGGGATGGTTTTCACAGGAGATTCACACATCTGAATTCTTTCTTGGGAACTTGTTTCCCATGAAATGGAGATTTCCATCACCTGCTCTGTATCTCTAGTTCTAGAGTCCCCAAAACCCAAACACACCACAAACACCCCTGGTGGTTTTGTTTTTTTTTTAAATTGGCATATCACTGAAAAAATGCACCACCATTGGAATGGGATGACACTGTACTAGGAGATGGTGGGAAAAGGCAGCTAACTCTCTCAGTAATCTACAGTCATAACCATTTCTATGATTTTTATTGTAGGTTCAGGCAAAAAGTGCCAGTCCAGCAAACAGTGCAGAGAACTCCCCAGTCAATTCAGCAACGGCTTTAAAAAACCGGCCTTTATCTGTTATGGTCACAGGGAAGGGAACAGTCCTACAGAAAGCTAAGGTAAGGAAAATCCATCTGGGACAGCCACTGCTTTTCCCTTCTGGCAGTGGAGCATACTGGCTGTGGTGGGATGGGGTTGTGGGGGGGGTCTCATGTCTGGGAAACACCCCTGACCAACACAATTCAGAGCACATCAGCCTGGTTCTCCTCCAGTCTTTTCACCTGTGTTTGCCTTGCCTGCAATTTAAATGAGTAAATGTATGCATTGTTTATAACTTAAAGATCTCCCTGACCCACCCTGCAGCCAAAACCACTTGGGGACCAGACGCTGTGGCTTGCCTGATTTCCATTTTGACTAATTTGCCTTTATTCCTTGGCAGGAATGGGAGAAAAAGGGAGCTAGTTAGAAGCACATTGTTCAGAAATGGACTAAAGACTCGAATTGCCCACGCATGGCCCAGGGGATTCAACCATCTGTCTGTGGAGGTTGGGTGTTCAACACCACCACACACCAAGTGCCTCCTCCACGTCACACCCACGGCTCAGATGCAGCACTGGAGTCAACAGCTGCTGATACGAGTTATCCCAAAAGAACTTGCTCTTTCCAGACAAATCCCAATCTTGTAGCTAAAACAATAACAACCAGTGGCAATCCTTCCATCAAAGTCCTAACCCAGCTGATGTAAACAAGAATGTTACTGTACATAGGGGTGTTTTGTGTATTTCTACTCTGAAGGTTTATCAATGAGTTATTAAGGTTTCTATATTAGTGACTGTAGTGGATTCAGAAGGGACCTCTACTATTCCTCAGCCTGGTAAGTTTGTACCTGTCCTGATAAATTGGAGTCAACTAAAGTCTCACCTGTCTTGCTGCCAGTTGTCACTCAGCTGCATTTCATCCAGCCTCCAGTCAAGGGCTATCCCCACAAGTGAGCAATACTTCAAACATGAATGAGAAGCACACAGCAGCCTGTCCAGGGCATTTTTAATCAGTGTCCTGATGCATTCTAACATTTCCTACCAGCTGCAGCTTTGCTAGAATATTGAGCTGCTCACCTTCTCATGCTGTAAGCTGTGCTACAGACTGGCAGCACCAAGAGCTCTAGGTAAAGAAATTCTGAAAAAAAAAAAAGTTAAATAAAAAATGAAAAAAAAAAAAGGAAAAGGAAAAAAAGTACTATTTGAGGGCTTGCTCAGCTGTTTCATGGGAAAGCTGGATCCCAGTGTATCCTTCAGGGCTTGCCCTTTCCCAAGACAGGGGGGAGGTAATGCTGTCCCCATGCTCCTGCCCTGGCTGTGATGGTGTCTGATCCTCACAGAGCTGCAGCTGCAGCCATCCCTGTGTCCCTCCACACTGGAGGGCTGAGCAGCCTGCCCTGCAGGAAAGGGTGCACTGCCAGGGCTCTGCTGAGCTGCTGGCCATACTGGTGCTGTCACCCTTATTTCCTGATCATTAATATTGCCTTTGGGCCCTAGCAGTATGGCCCACAAAGCCCACCCCTCTCTACCCTAGCCAAGCTTTCTAATTAAAGATGTTGGATATTTGGAACTGCTAAACTTAGAGACATTGAAATTTGAAGGGTGGCGGTGGGTTGGCAGAAATCTATGCACTCCTCCCCTCCCTGGAACCTGCTGACATGTCTGATGGCCTGGAGACACCTCGTCTCCTCTGATGGCCCTGCAGAGCCCAGGCTCAGTAACAGGGTTGGCTGGATGGGGCTGGAGCCATTTTCCAACCCTACAAAGTTAAAGCAGCACAAGTTCCCAGGATGGGTTGTCCCTGGGGTCTTGTGGCTACACCAAAGCCAAGGTAAAGGCAGAAAGGAAAAATGTACCTTCCTCACCCTTGAAAATATTTGACAGGCCTGAGACCACCTCTAAAGGGCTGTTCTTTCTTCACACAAGGGCCAGACAGCCAGTGGAATACACAGGGCTGTGATATCCAGAGCTGGTGGTGTCACTGGGGTGAGAGAGAATGTCCTGACAAGGGTTCTGGGCTTACTTGCCCAGAGCCAGGGTCCAACAAAACACTTGGTCGGGGTATCCTGGAAGCAAGAAAGGTGACCGTGCTCCCATTTTTTTGACTCTAGTTTCCACTGTGGTGCAGATGGAGGAATTGCTAATGCCAGGCCTCAGGAGCCTCAGCTGTCAGGTTGTCCCTGTGCAAGGTTTTGCCCATAGGAAAAGATGATGCAAATAAACTGCTAGCTCATCTGGTTAAGGACCCTGGGGACTTCCTTCTCCAGAGCACCAGAAGGCCACAGACTCCATGAAGCTTTTGTTTTGGCCCGTGATGAGCTGGCAAGAGCCCCTCTCTACACCCTAAATATCCGTGTAGGGCCACACCCTCACCATACACCCTGCTGTCATCCTCCAGAAGTTGTCCAGACATTTCACAGTGGTACTGAGACAGCCATGGACAAGACCAGCTCTGCTTTCCCCTTCACAGCCCAGTCAGCTTCAGTGCTCCTGCTGGGATGTCTCCATGAGGGAATGGTAAACATAGGCAAGTCCTGAACAACACACTTTCCCCAAACAAGAAATGTTAAACAATGTCTCTGTGTCCCCATTGTTTTCCTAACTCAAGGCATTTCCTTTGTTGTAACTGTGACCTATAAAGTGGCGCTTTAGAGGGTTTTATAATAAAATGTTGAGTATATTATGTTACCAGTGTTTTTCTCAGTAATGGGGCTTGTCCCTGCTCCACTTTCCAAGAGATTTCAAGTACATCCAATCCCCAATACCATTAGTTGCTACAAATCCTTAGCTATGCAGTCTACAACTGCAACTATAGCTTAAATAGCAGTGATTGCACCGTCAAGCAAAACAATTTTCAGAGAGCTTTGCCATGGAAAAATAGCAGTAACCCCAACACTTCACACAAATACACGGAACAGATTCCTGCCTGTATCTCTGTAGCAGTCCTCTTGCTCAGAACCAGCAGTGAAAAAACTTCCACTACCTTCCTCTGGCCACTAGATAGCAACTGTGTGCAGGCTTACTGCCTGCTGCAGGGAGGGAAAACCAGGATGGGCTTCAGCTGGAAAGGAAGGAAAAAAGTTATTAAACAGTTGAAGCCTTTACAGAGTGGACACCAAAACAGACACATCTGTGAAATATCTCTTGGTGCCTCCACTCCCACAGAAAGCTTGGTGAGTTTCTTGCTTAAGTACCTCCACATTTCTTGCTTTGGATACACAGAACAACCCCACAAAAGCTCCTGGGTGTTCCTGACTAGCACACCAAGGTTGCTAGTGGGCATGTTGATTTTCCAGTAAGACAGAAGTAAAAGATTTTATAAGGAAAAAAAAAATTACCTCATATCAGTGGAGAAGTTGGTCTGAATGTTCATATAATATGTCTCAGGTATGAATTAGATTTATTTACTTCTACTGCAGAGTGAGATTGCAGGAGGGTTTTGAAGCTGAAGAAGGTGGCTTGCTTTACAGGGAGCATCTGCAGGCCTCTTGCAGGCTGGCCTTAGCTTTTGGTATGCAGGGAGGATGGCACAGTGAGATCAAACCCCAGCTTCCCTGCTGCAGCCTTTACACTACAGGTGCCATCCAACATTTACTCACCACAAACAGGCATGGTTTTGCTTGCTGAGGGAACGTAAGACTAAATGGGGTGAAAATCATGGCTCTTACTTAAACCCCATTTTTTAAAAGGAGAAACAGGCTCTCTCCTGGAGTCAGCACATGGCCCAGGACCAGCCAAAGCTCACCCAGAAATCCTCCAGGGTGAGAGTAATTCACAGCCCCATTAGTAACAGCAGCCCAGACACTAATGACAACCTGGCACGGACAACATCCTCCAAGCTCCTCTGATGCCAGACGGGATTAGTGCTGGCTTTGCAGGGACCCCACCTCCTCAGTGCCTGTGCCAGCTTCAAATATTGACCCAGCCTTAAGGGAATGAGCTCCCATCACATAAAGTCTCATTAAATATTTCTGATTGAATCAAGGCAAGTCTTTGAGAGTGAATTTAATAAGGGATCATGTCAGAGACCCAAGCCGCTTTCCTACTTATTCTTTTTTAATTAAAATTTATAAGAGAAAGGGCCTAGAAATTAGGCAGGAACTTCAAGTCAAATTTTTAAAAAGGAATCAGCTCAAAAAGCTGCTCAGCAGTGTACCTGCTTGCCTGTGGGATCAGCAGGTCTCTTCAAGACCATCCCATACATCCTAATTTTCAGGCTGGCTTCTCCCATCTCCTCCCAATGCCCCATGACCTTCTTACCTTGCAAAGTGCTTTGTCTCATACAAAAGGAGAGCTGGTGGGTGCTGCTGCTGCCAGAGAATGTCTGAGCATCTATCCAAGGCTTCAGGAATCGCCTGCTTTCAGGAGGAATGTCAGGAGGAAAGTCACAGTTGCAGCACATGTAGATCCCTGACATGTGGGGATCCCTGGGGCACTCTGGGCCCTGAGACCTGGTGTACTCAGAGCCTAAAAACTGGGTTTAGAAACCAGCTTTCCTGAGCTACTCCATGAGTTTCCAATCTCTCACATCATCTCTACTTGACAAATGGATGCACAGAGATAGATAAATCCTGTCCAGCATTAAAATGTTCTCTCCAACATGAGATTTTGCAGTCTGTGCTTCTTGAATCATACAGAGATGTTTGTGTACCTGTGGTGCTTAAAACCAGCAGGATGGTAAAAACACAGGGCTTCCCAGCTCAGGACCCAGGGACAAAAAAAAGCCTGCTTTGTCCCTCGTACAACCCATGCATACTAAAAACATACTTAATATCTGCGCGTTAAAATAAAGAACTCACAAACAGATTACACCACATCACATTAGCCACAAGATAAAGTGCTCAGCAGCATCAGTGTACAAACTGTCCTGCAAACAGCACAAGGAAAAGGCTTTAAGCACTTGTAAAAGGTCAGGAAGGCATGTCCCAGCTCCAGAGCCGTGTCCCAAGCAATGTAAATAAACATTTGAGAGGGCAGACTGATCCCACAGAGGACAAATGCCTGTGAGGAACGAGCTAATGATGCTGTTGGGCAACGATGGCAGAGAAACTCAGGGAGGTGCAAACCCACCAGGGCAGCAGAGTGAGGGGAGGGGTCCCTTGGACCCTTCACACAAACGAGGATGCACAAGGAGGTCAGGGAGACTTCTGAGAGCAGTCTGGCTGGAATCCAGCCAGCTCCACAGGCGCTTCTGCACCATCCCATGAACCACGTCTTTGATGTGTGTCTGATCAAGCCCGTTCTCCCCACATGAAGAGGAGACTGACAGGTTAACAGCAGAGGCAATGCTGAGCTACAGCCATGCCTAAGTAACGTTAATAGATTTGTTTCCCTTTGTATCCCAAATGTCAGCCCTTCAACTAAGCCTCTATTCTGCTGTGCCTTAGGACACAGACAATCTACCAGAGTGACAGTGAAAAGAAAGCAGAATTTCCTCTTTCTCCCAGCCTGGTTTCTCCCACAGGCATGACAGTGCTTCTCCTGTCTCAGTGCCAGCTTTCATCCCTGAGACTGCTTTCAGACCATTCTTCTTTTGACATCAAACCTGCTGAGCAATTTGTGTCTCTCTTTGTCCATCTACTGTTACTATTCAAACACGGGGCCAGGACATCTGGGTGAAGGGATTTTTCTTCTGCTGGGAACAATTGACACTATTCTCATGAGCACTGGCAGTCACAGTTAGTATCTCTGCCTTGGCTCTCTGCAGACCTGGTTGTGCTCTCCTGAGGTGACAGACACCATGGGAAAGTCAGCAAACAACAACCCAACACTGGGCTTTGGGGGAGCAGTTATGTAAATTTTACAGGTTTGTGGGAAAACTGATGTAATGATGAGGTGAGGCTGATGCTCCAAAGGATGCAGGCATGTGGCCAAACTGTCTTTGGAGACATGAACCATCACAGCCCAGTAAATTCAGAGAAGAAAGTAGCATGAACAACATATGAAACAGAATAAAGTCTTGTAATCAGTTCTTCTTCTGCCTTCCTTCATGTAACAAGCCATTCACTCCAGCACTTGGCTGCAAGTGCATCATCTGTGCTCTATCCCTTCAGCAGGAGCTCCATAATTGCTCAGACTTCTACATATTTTTAGATTAACTCACAGATGTCTCAAAATCTGTTAAATAAAAAAACCAAAACAATCACAACCTTAAGACCTGGATGAGGAAATGCAAAATGCCAGAAAGAAATACTTAAACACAAATATTTACTTCAATTATAAAAGAAAAAGAGTGCTGGGAAGACCAGTTTATGCAATGCAGAAATTGGGAATGGCCTCAACATAGTCCCTGTGCTGGAGCAACTCCATCACTGCCAAGGGCAGTGCTGGACGGTGCCTGTGAGTGTCAGAAAGTGTTCCTGGATGGAGAACTGGAGCACTCAGCACATCTGTGTCAATGCCTCTGATCCATTTGCCTTTTGCTGTGCTGGAGGGCTCTGGAGAAGTGCTGCAAACCCCTTGGACTCCACTGCCCATGGGAACGTGGAGGAAGGGCTGGAGATCTCAGAGAATCACCCCGGAGAGCTCCTGTGGCAGAAGAGAAGCACAGATGTGGGAGGAGGGTTTTAGGACCCAGGGATAAGGTCACAGTCAGTCTACAACAGCCAAACAAGCATTCCCTTAGCCTTAGCTGACAGATGTTAGAGGCCATAGGCTGTAAGTCAGAATTCCTGGGCTCAGGTAAAAAACAAAATATTTGGTATGGGGAAAACCCACTTAAATTGAGAACTTCATGCTATGGGCACAGAGCCACCTGTGGGGAGCCAGAGATTCCCCTCCTCCTGGCCATTGCTCCGCTGCTGAAGAGAAGGAAGGCAATGGGGAGGCTTTTACACCATGGACAGCATTGAAAGGAATAGCGAGGGGGTCTGCTCCAACAGAAACAGCTCCTTCCCATTAAAAGAGTCAAATCTTTCCACCTAGGAAACCTTTCCTAGGGAACCTAGGAAAGACTCTTTCTTCCACCAGGGCAGAAGAAAAAGGGGAGCAGAACAGAGAGTATTACCAAAATTATTAGACCTTCTTGGGGCCTCCTCACAGTCAGCTCATATAGTGAATGTATAGAAATGCACAGGTTCTTGATAGAAGCCTTGGCTCCCCTCAGCAGCCCAAACCTCTCCACTTTCCATAAGATAGAGACCACATCAGCACCAAAATCTGGCCACCAAACAGCTGTCCAAGAGTTACAACCACTTCTCTGCTTCAGGGAGGGGTGGAGATGTGGGATCAGTTGGGAGGGGCTGCTGACCCTTACTGGTCTCACAGTGGGGCCCTTCCCAGCCGTGGCACTCGCAGCGGTAGCTCCCTGGCCCAAGGATGCACACACCCTGGTTCATGCAGGGGTTGGGCTTGCACAGGTTCACGGGGCTTCTTGCTTCTGCAACAGACACAAGCGGGAGAGCAGGCTCAGGCACATCTGCATTATTACTAGCTAAGGCCCACAGCCATCAAGAATGCGGCAAAACAATGGTTTCAAAGGCTAATGGGACTGGAAAAACATATAAATATGGCAGATGGTGCAAGCCACAACCCTGTCTTGACACTTTGACCTAGAGAACAGAGTGGCTTTTCTAGGTGTCCTAATCTGGAGGAGAATACTCCTAGTAAAGCTTTAAAGAGTAACTTAATGATAGGATGCATATCACAGAAAAGCAAAATGGAGCATCTGCAGAGCTGTAAGCAACCCCAGACTCCCCATGTGCAGACATGGATAACACATGCCCTGCTCCAAGAAGTTCACAATCCCAAATGCCACTTTAAGTTCAAACCTCACTTTGCCCCAGAGAGGATAAAAGTTTCCATTAGAGAGTAATAAGGAGAAGTTGCCAGTTGGGGAATGAGGATGGCATGAATGGAAAACAACAAGGAAAATTTCTGGGCTTCTCTAGGGGGTTTGAGAGAAGCCTGCAAGCACAGCCCAAGTTATTAGTCCTGTTGTTATGAAGTATGTGACAGCTTTCCCAACCCTCTCAACACAACAGAGCCCAGCTGTCAGCAGGGCTGGCAGTGTTCCACGCTGCCCTGCTGCCAATACATTAGGTTAAGTAGCAGCATCCCAGAGGAATTTGCTTCCAGTCTGCTGGCAACACCACCGAGGTGCTGGTGAGGGTGTGAAATTCCTGTACTCAGCAACTACGTGGTGTAAAGCTGCCTGCCTTACTCTTTGCTCCAGGGTAGAAAAATCACAGAGAAAACAGAAAAGGGGGAAGAAGAAAGAATACAAATACTATCTGCCAGGGAGCTTTCTACAGCTTAACAGACATTGTACATCAAATCTCAATCTACACCTAACTCTGGCAAAATTATAACTGATTTTTTGTTGTTTTGACACTCCTAGACCTGAGACATATCAGTCTTTAGCTCCAGTTGATTTTACAGGGACCCAAGCTGAGTTCGAAAACATTTTTGTCATCACGGGATTTCTGAGATGAGGTCCCGCCTGATAGTGTATTCCCAGAGATGGACACTTGTTTTCATTGGCAATGAAAACTGGATCTCTTGGACACACCACTCATCTTCCAGGTGCTGCTGTTCCCCAAGGAGCTGTTCCATGGTGCTCTGCTCTATAGGTCATGTGTCCACCTCATCCCTCCAGGAATGCTCCACAGCATAACCTTGCAGTCCCTGCTTTGGGGAATCATTCTGCCACAACACCATTTCTCTGAGCTCAAGCCTTGTGTTAACATACCTTAAATAGGTTCTCACATTTTGATGATCCCAATAACTTGTATTTCCATTAATCTGATTCATATATATATATATATATATATATAATGCTTGGGAACTTTTCTCCTAAACCCTGGGTCCTTTTTTTTTTTTTTTGACTCTTTTCAGATAAGCCTCAGAACTAACCCATACTCCAGGTATACAGAGGCAGGGTCTGTTTCTCAAATACTTTTATAGTGAATCATAAATTTTTTTAAGTCTTTCCACAGACAATGATTCTGTTATTAAGGCTTGGACTTGGGAGTAGAAGACTGAGTGAAGGGCTTATCTTCACATCGCCCTTGGTCCCAGCCTATCTGGTACAAACTGTGATTTACCTGCACATGAAATGAAAGCAGCAATTCACTCTCAGGAAATGATATGCTATTACCCTGACTCATTGAACCTTGCTGTCTCTTCCCCTTCACCCCTGGCATTTTAGCTAATTTCAAGGCATGGTGCATTTTTTTGGTAATAACACAGCTGAAAGTACCACTGCAACAGAAACACACTGAAAAGCTCCAGGTAGAAACCATCTGCAGAGCCTGCCAGGAGGGAGGCTCCTCACCCCAAAGAGATGATGCTGTAGCTCTTTCTAAGCCTGAAGGAGACATAGGCATGCCCAGAGATGAAAAGGACCTCTGTGCTGAAGCTCAAACACATTTCTTTTGATCTTATAAACATGTTAAAACATGACAAAAGCAAACAGGTACACATTAAACTTAAGCTATTTTGAACAAGAAAATAAGGCATGCTATTTTAACTAGGAACACTTTCATCACCACTGTCTGAAAACTAGGGCTGCTGTCCTTTTGGAAGAGCTAATTTACAGACAAGACACAAGTGTTTCAAACTTAGTATTAGAGTCATATTTTTCCCCAGCTGAGGACTGACACTCATGACTCAAAGTTTTGTAGAAACTTCACCTTTTCTTTCAACCCCAAATATGACTTTTACACAAATATTTGAGAATTCTTCCCTTCCACTTTGAAGATGAGGATTTGGTCCTACAAATAAGATTAAACACAATTTGTCTGAAGGCCTAGTATAACAATCTGAAGGCTTCAAAATGGACAGATTCTGATTTTAAGATTAAATACAGTGCAACACAAAATCTCTAAAGCCTATGTGTTAATTTCAGTAGTGGGATATTAAGAGTGAATAGGAGTGATGAGGTTGCAGACTCACCACTTTACGAACACCTGGTCACAAACCTGTTAAACAAGAGAGCAGAGACCTCACTCAGGGACCAGCACAAAAAAGGGCCCATTAAGCTCCCCCCCAGCAACACTGAAGGGGTGCAGTAACACACAGCAAATTCTACAGATTTAAAACAACATCAGAAAAAGAGCAAACTTATTTTACTTTCAGAGAAAGCAGAACCTAGATCTAGCAGGGCTGGAAAGAGACAGTCACACTATGCCCACTCTCACCCACTGGACTGAATCTTAGGGAAGTTGGTTACTAATTCCTCCAGGATTGCTCTGGACAGTCATCAGGTCTCTGTGTCATAGCTTCCCCATCAGTAAAATGCAAAAGATAGTATCAAGTTCAGTCAGTAAAACATCTGAAAACCTACAATAGCAGCAGCTGGTGACACTGGCATAGGGAGTTATGACTGGAGGCTCTCCTACCTTCACATATCCTTTCAATGATAAGGCCTTGGTAATACTGCAGGTCCTCATAGGAGGAGATGTGGACCAGGTAGGTGGGAGACCCAGCAACTCTCAGCAGCGTGTCCCTCTCTGTGTCCCCAATGACGACCACGAACACCAAGATGCCATTGTGCCTCAGCTGCTGGGCCTGGGCAGCTGCATCCTGCATGCCACCTCCATTGGTGAGCAGCACCACCACCTTGTTGACACCAGGTCTTGCTCCCTTCTGCACGGTCATTACATCGCTGTAAACATGCAGCAAGGCACTGCCAGCAGAAGCTGAGTCCCCAAGGAAAGGCACCTGGTCGATGGCCTGGAGAACAGCAGAGGTGCTTGTGTGGGTGTCCAAAGCAAACACAGTGTGAGCTGTGCTGCCATAGATCACCAGGGCAATTTGGGTGACATCCCGGTTGATGACGAAGTGCAAACAGCTGCTCCTGACAAAGCACCTCAGACGCAGAAAGTTCTCCAGGCCAACTCCAGATGAGGCATCCACAGCAAATGCCAAATCAAGAGACTGAGCCTGGCAGCCTGTGGAAAGGAGCACAAACATGGTATCTCTCAGAATATCTATCTTCTCCTTTCTGACTGAAAAACAGCAGTGAGAGGAAATCATGGGCAAAGTCCAACACTGCTGATCACCGATTGTGAGGGGTGATCTATGTCTCTTTCACACCCATAGGTTGAGACCCATCACAAAAATCACTATGGAATGTTAGTCCCTGGATCTGTGCCTGGCACACAAAAACAAGGACATTCGTCCTTCTGCCCTTCCCTCCTCCCTGTTGGAAGTCAGGACACCTCTGCATGGTTTGGTAAACGTGTCCCACAATGCCCACACCACAATATTACCTTCAGGATTGCCCACACTGCAGATTTTTCTCTGCAGCTCTGGCATCCTGTTGAACAGGTCCTGAGGGTCCGAGTAGACAATGGTCTGCTGTGGATTGCCAGTCACTGTGGTCAGCTCTGCTCCCATGAAGCTGCTGCCTATGCCAATCAAGAAGAGATTTTGGTCCTTTGCATACTTAGCAGCTTCTGCCACTGAATCCTGAGACTTGGAGTCAGTAAGCAGGACAACCACATGTGGGAGATCATCCTGCACATCTGCAAAGACTGGGGTACTCCTAAAACCGTGCTGTGCAATGTACTGTAGGGCTCTTCCTGTCAGGGTTCTTCCTCCACTGAAATTCAAGGCATCAATACTCTTCATGAGATTAAATGTGTCCTTGTGTTGGCTCAGCTCAATGGGTATCTTGACATCATCATCGTATTGGGCCACCCCCACGCTCATCGGCGAGTCCTGGCCCACCACAGCTTGGAGGAATCTCTTGAGGAAAGCCTTGAAGCGCAGGAACCCTTCCAGTGTGACCCCTGCTGAGCTGTCCACCAGGAAAAGGAGATCCACACTACACTCCAGGCTCAGCTTCGCTGCTGGAAAGGGAGAAGGCAATTAGTTATTTTCAGGGCAACCCCAGCAGGGGGCTGCTGGAAGCCTTGTGGAGAGGGGACACTGTCTCCTGTAACCCAAACATTTTGCCATTCATAGTGAGCTGGAAGACAAATGAGCCAGGAGCAGGCTTTGTTTTGGCTGGATGCCATATAAGCCTTTAGAGACAAGAAATATTGATGGGAATTCATGAACTTTTGGATGGCAAACTTCAAATCAGAAATTATAACTCCACTCTCTTAGTGCTGTGGGCAAAAAACTCTGAATGACACAATCAGATACTGGAGAAAGGAGAGAGTCCAAGCACCAGACCCTCACCTATGACACCCTGAGACACTTTGAGTCAGAACCTTGGTTCTGGGGAAAGTATGTACAAGGTGATTTGTAATGATCAGGAGTTTTTGGCTTTTTACACTGAAGCCCCAAAAACAGGAGCTCCACCGATGTGTGCAGGGAGGGCACCAACAGGCACATCCATGTCTCTCAGTGATTGTGTTCTCCTGATCCCATGGCATCTGCATTTAGACACAAGGGCAGCCATGCCAGAGTGAGTCAATACTGCTGTTCTTCATACCCTCACAGTGAACAGCAGGTTCACTGACACAGTCATGATCAGCATGAGAGTAAACACTGCCTGCCTTCTGGAGAAAAGCCCAAAGACAGTGGCCCCAGCCCAGCTGCCCCCAGGACAGCACAAAGGGCACCACGAAGGCAGGACTCAGCCAAGAGGGAAGGAGACAGAGCACACAGGTTCACACCTACCACAGTGGATGTCTCCTCCATACCCCAGCAGGCAGAGGCAGTGGTATCTGTCCAGTCCCTCTGGGACACATGTGCCACCATTCTGGCATGGCTGGGAGTCACAAGGGTCTAAACAGGACAGGGAAGAGAAAGACAGGTAGTCAGCAGGGAGCCTGCTTCTTCCCATCCTCTGCCAGCATGGGCATTACTTTTAGTGGAAACAGGGTCACAGCTCTGTCCCTCTTGCTACAGAGTTTGAACTAACACAGGGCCATGTGTACCCTCACCTCCATGGCAATTTCCATTTGGGATGGCTCTCCAACAGGCTGTGACAAGAAATCAAACCAGACTCTAACTTCATTTGATTTGGAACAATGCCAGTGACACCACATTCATACAAAGAGAGAAGTGCTAAAGGTCCTGCAGCCCTGACAGATTTTCAGCAGCAGTGAAGGGGTCTGGGTCTGCTGCCTGGACAGTGTTGTACTGTCACCTGAACTTGCAAAAAGAACGGAAGGACCACAGCTATTTCAACAGCCACAAAAACAGGCTGGTGATCAGCACATGTCAGGCTCCCCACTAACCTGATGCTGCTTATGGTACCAAGCATATGACTGGAGGCATCACTGCATGCTCCCCTGTCTGGAGAACAGTGACTCCCTGCAGACACTGGGGAGCAGTGCAGGACTCTGCCCCCAGGACATGAACAGATGAGGATCCATTGGCTCCTCAAGTAGAGAAGAAATTACTAGGAGACATTTTAATTCAAAATAACTCTGGCCATAGATACCCATGGGAAACAAAAAATGCGTTAAGTATCTACTGATCACGGTCTCTAACTCAGAAAAAATTTTTGAGAAGTAAAAGCAAACCCCTTTATTTTTATTCTTCTTTAGTTATTACCCTTCCTACTTCACAAATTAAAGTTTTGGAAAAGCAAAATCCCACCTGGACATACAGTTCGGAAGCAGCTGGATGGGTGTTTTATCAAGACTCGTTTCCACCTGAAACAGGAAGAGTAAGACCTGTCATTAATTTAAATATTAACAAGATACCTTCAAGGTGGACCTTACTGTGTTTCCAATGGAACAAATTTTCCTTCAAAAACATAGGTTTTCAAAACAAGTATTTAAAAAAAAGTCCATTCTAAATGAGAGGCAAAAGGAAAAGCATAATTTCATCAAATCCAGTCTTTTGTTTTTTAATTCAGCTGTAATCTTTACATTTTAAGATTATGGATATATTTTTAAAACTCATAAAATTATTTTGTTTGCTTGCTTCTCAGCCAATGATCAGAGCAGAGACTCTGGCTAGGACTAAACACTGTTAGCATCAGTCTTCTGAGGGACCTTCATCCCAATAAAGAGTCAAGGTCAGATATAAGCCTCATTACTGTATTTGTTATCTCTCAGCCCCATGCATTTTTAGAGGTATGAGTGCCCATCTTACCTGATGAAAGGGCACAGTGAAGCTTGTACAGCATTGGGCTGCTTTGAGCCTCTCCAACACACGTAGCTGCCAGCCAGCTCTTTCACAGTCTCCAGGGTCCTGCGCTCACAAGGATGGGACTCAACTTTGCAGCCTGTAGCAAAGCAAAAGGCAAACTGTCATCAATTGCCTGAAAATACAAAGGCTGTAAAAGCAGACAACCATTTTCAACTCCCTGACAAGGCAGAGTTTCCAAGAGCCTCTGTGAGACCACAGAGAAGAAGCTTCCTGTTGAAAAGATCACCAGCCTTTCTGGGGACCTAAATATTCATTCAGATCCTTTGCTTTGCTACAAACCTCACACTGCTGAGTTCGTGGTTAAATGGCAGCTTTTGTGCCCCTTTGGTGCCTTTATCATTCATGTGTTTGATTTTCTGCTACCTCTGGACCACTCTAGTTCTATCCTTTCTAACTCCTGCAAGCCCTTAACACACAGCCAAGTCCATTAGAAAATTTAACATAACTGTGTTTATCCCTCTATCCCCTGTCACATGAGCAAAAACCAATATTCCCATTTTCAGAGGTGAATCAGGATGCAGAAAGAATTTGGATTCTGCACCTTGGAGGTACTTGGAGAGCATGCCATCCAGTTTGGGCACCAGAAGCAGGTTACCTCGAAGTGTAACACCTGCTAATTCCCCTGTATGCTTCCGGACACTGTCTTAGCCAAGCTAAAAGCACACGGAGGTGGGGCCAGCAGGGTCACCTGGAGCAGTGGCAGTGCAGACAGGGTCACTCAAGGTGCTGTACAGGCCATTGGCAGCGTCATCAGCATCTCCAGCAAAGAGCAGGTGCCGCTCAGGGGGCTCGCTGGCCAGCACGTGCAGCTCCTCCCACCTGCCGAGCAAGGCACGGGTTAGCTGCCCAGTCTCTCCCACAAAGAATTAAGGGTCAAAACCAACCCTGTGCAACAAATAGAGAGCTGATGAAAAACCACCACACTCTTTAGTTTCCAAGATCCTGGAGTGTTTAGTCTCAGGCAGCAGCATAGCTCTACTAAGTGGAAAGGTTTCCTTCATCAACTCTGGTGCTCCTTCTAAATCAGCCACCAAGTCAGTGTTTCCCTCATGCCTGCATTACCCTGCAAATTCCTTTCTGTGTGGTTTAAGTATGGTATTCCCCAAATTAGTGCTCTCACTGAAACCAGGCCCACACTTGCTTCCCCTCTCACCTCCAGCTGGAAACACAAAAGTCAAAGATCATGGATTGAAGTAAGAATAATTTACTGGGAACAGAAATGAGATGAGAAATCGAGCAGTAACAGCAGCAATAAAAATATTAATAACAAAAGGTGTAAGACAAAAATAATTTTACTTAGAAAGTCCATCTCAATACTGACTGTTTCCACACTTTCTCCCCTCCTTGGAAGCGAAGAATGCCCTTCCTCTCTGAAGGGAGAAAGTCCTTTTCCCCCACCCCTGGCAATGAAAAAGTGGTATGGATTATCTCCTAGATATACCCACAGCTACAGAAAAAAAAAAAGAAAACAACCCTCCTCTGGCAAAAACAAGGACACCTTTTCTCTTTCCAAAACTCATACCTAGTCTGAGATTACCCCCATTCACCAAGACTGGCCACTTGGCTAGCTGGGTGTCTACTTCCCACTCTGGAGAGTTTCCTACCTTGGAAACTTGATTCCCACTGCAAAAACTGTGATGTGTCTCTCCTTCACCTGCATTGCAGGCATTGCAGTGCTGCCCTGGGACTTTCCATCCGAAATGATGATCAGGACTTCAGGGACACTTGCATTTCTGCCACCAGGGAAACCCTTGTGAAGAATGTACTTCAGAGCCCGACCGATCTCTGTGCTCCCACCTCTAGAAAGCAGGGAGATATAATCAGAAAAGAAAAAAATCAAAATTCCTCCCCTGCTACTGCATTTACTATTTGGCTTTCAAATTTTTAGCCTCTGGCAATGGGAAACGTAGCCTATTTCTGCTTGTTGCCATGCAACATATCCACGAGGATGTCTAATCCTGTCATTCTTGTCATCTTCCTACCCACTGTTCTCATCTATTCACCCTTATGTCCCTCCTCTCCAACCCAGAGTGGTCTCCAAGAGACTTCTAACATACAGCAGAGTGTTTCTGCAATTGGTGCAGTAACCAGAACTCTTAGATATTTGAATTTTATTTCCTTCAACAAATGCCTCTACAGCTTCTGTTTTTCCATCTGAAAACTGCGGTCATTTTCTTTCAAACTTCTCCTGTTGAAGGGAGAGCTGGGCCCTCCTGGCCCCAGCAGAAACCAGTAGCTACAAAGAAGGGTCCCAAGCAGCCCTGAGCAGGAGCTGTCCCTAAAAGAAGCCAGAAGCCACCATGACTGGGATAAATGCATCACAGAAGAGCTGTCCCATGGCGATGTTGGCAGCTACCAAGAAGTTTCTGGGAAGAAGGCACGGAGCAAGGCCTTTCCCAAGGACAAGTCGGTAGCTCCCACAGTATCTCTGACTGGGAAGAATACAGCGAGCATGAGCTGCTCCACGGAGATGTAGGTAGCTGCTAAGAAGTGTCTGATTGGGAAGAGTCCATTGGCCAAGAACTTTCTGAAGAGGAAGACTCCATTGGCCAGGAGGTGTCCAAAGGGAATGACAAGAGACCCTCTGAAGTCCAGCTGGGAAAATGACAGTGACCAGGACCTTGCTCAGTATAGCTGGGAACAGAGCATCGCTCCCAGGCCTTTGCTGGGGGAGGAGGATGAGTGGGATGAAGTGAATGTCCTTGAGCTCTGTGAATAAGACAGAGAGCAAGGACTGGGAGGTGTGACAGGAGACGAGCTCCCCGTGCCTGTCCCTCACAAGGCTGGGGTTGAGTGCAGGGTATCTGAGCCGTGCCCCGAAGTGCAGCTCCGTGCCTCGCCTCCCCATCTGGAAGTCCCGGCCCCAGAGGATGTGCGGCTTCTCCCACCTTTGAGGAGAAGGTGACAGCAGCAGGAACACAGAGCCCAGTGTCGGCCCCGCTCAGCTGCCCCAGCCCCTCAGCTCCCCAGCCGGGAGCCCAGGCCCTCAGCCAGCAGCGGCACCCCCACAAGAAACATCCCTCCCGCCTCAGGCGGGCGCTGCGCGGCCCGTTCCCCTGGCCCTGCCCGCTCCCCTGGCCCTGCCCGCTCCCCTGGCCCTGCCCGCTCCCCTGGCCCTGCCCGTTCCCCTGGCCCTGCCCGTTCCCCTGGCCCTGCCCGCTCCCCTGGCCCTGCCCGCTCCCCTGGCCCTGCCTGGCACCACAGCCCGAGGACTAGGGCCTGCTGCTGCAGCCAGCCCGGGCCCTGCAGATGTGTCCTGAGGGAGCCACAGGGCTGCCTTTGCCTGGACATGGCCCTGCAGCCCCGAGCTATCCCCAGCTGCTGTGGAGCATCCCAAGCTGGTCTCCGCGAGAGCCAATATTACCCGCGTGGCCAGCCCCAAACCACACATTGACACAAACACACCTCATTTGCTGTCTGAGCATCTGTCCTTCTCCCTAGCACCTGATAGCCGATTTGCTTGCTCTAGAAAACCATTTCATCATGCCCAAGTTCACTGTTTTTCCATCTACCCTCTGATTTTCACAGAAACTTTTTTCATTTTGTACTTGCCAGGCCTCTTTGCTTTGAACTTCTTCTTCCTCTGCACTCCATCATTTCCAAGCATACTCAGTGACCATGTGTTCACAGCAAGACCAAATTTGCCTATTTCTGATCAGATGTCTCTGAGATGTTTCAGTGGATAATGCTTTGCAAGAGGAAAAATACACTGTGCACAGTGAGTGTGGTGACTAAACTTTGATGAACTCAGTGCACTGTGCCCATGTGAGCCCTGAGGATTTGAAAAAGTTAATAAAGAGCTCATTAAACTCAATTGCTTTTTAATTTGCATTTGGAGCTTCACTGGGTTTTGACACAGTGGCAATGTGTTTGAGGCATTATTCCAATGAGGATTTTCTGAAGTACAAGAAGATCTGGACTTTACCTGCTGTCTTTCTTCAGGGACAGAACTGAATTTCTGTCCTGTAACCAGCTGCTGACTTATGTGAAAGAAATTCATATGAAATTTAGCTTGAAATTATCACCAAGTATGGCTGGAACTGGCCAACAAATTCCAAAGCTATTTGGACAGCATTCACAGAGAGAGACCAGCAGTCTCCAAATAAATCACAAAAGCTTTACTTTAGTCTGGTGCTACCTCCTTCCAAGTGCTGTCAGCTCTGGGCTGAAGTCAGGAAATGCCTCACTGGCCAAAGGCTCATCAGAAGCACATCAAGGAACCTCTCAACCAAGATGTCAAACACCCATTTTCTTTCAGAAGCCAAATGGAACCAAACCATAACTATTTTATTGACTTCAAGATGTCAGCTTTTCATTTAAACTAGATTAAATCGCCAGGCAAAAAGTCGTTATTTCTGTTTGATCTGTCAGCATCCCTCTGTTGTCATCAAGGAAATGCAGTGCCAGACAGCAAATGCTGCTTCACTTTCTCTGCTCTCACAGACTTATAACAATGACCAGAGAGGGGGAACATGTCTTGTTTTCTGTAAGCTTTTCTTGTAACAGTACACAAGAGGTTTTCTTGATTTGCTAAACTCATCAAAAGAAATACAACAAAATCCAGGCAGCTGATCTTGCTTAAAAAATGCAAAACTGATCACATTTGCTTGCAATATGTGCAACATCCCGAGAGCAGATATCCATGGGAAAGGCTGATCTAACCCTTATGCAGATCAGCTAAAAGAGTGGACATCCACAGGCCTTACCAATACCTCATCTATCATCAAAACAAGTGTTCTTTCGGGGTAATTGTCAGATCCTTAGTAGATCCAAATGTATTTTTCAGAGATGGAAAGTTTGGATTTTGAGACGCCCTAAGGACAGCTCTTTGGACTTCTGGCTCCATTTCCTGGGGTCATGGGAAGACATCCAATTCTTAGCATTCAGGAAGAAAAAAGGTTTCTGTCTGAAAACCTGATCCTCTTGAATTCAGCAAGCACATGTAGATATCTACAGATCAGCAGTTTGTCACTAACTCACGGGACAAAGGAAATTGTAACCACCAAAAAATGAAGCAGCACACTGTGCTGCCTTAGCTCAGCCACAAGGAAACATGTTTGCTTTTCCACAGAGGATGTAACCCACTGACTGGCTGAAATAGACAGAATGGCCTGGAAAACTCTCTATTTACCACATTATAATATAACACTGAAAACTTTGTCCCCTATCAACTTTCACTAAGACAGACCGGGTTTCATGTTCTTAGTGGATTGTGGATCATGGACCACAGAGTTCATTCACCTCCCTACCTGGGACATCACACTGGTGTAAGCCCAGCAGAAGCAGAGATTTCTAAACCTCAAAAACCCTCTCATTCCAGAGATTATCCATAGCCCAGGAAAAGAGAAGAGCTGAAAAATAAGCTGACCTGAACACAGTCCTCTTGATTCTCTCTTTCACTTCTTGTTTGGTTAGATAAGAATCCAGTGGGAATTCAAGGTGGGGAGTTGAGCTAAACTGTATCATTCCCACACGGACCTAAAGGAAAAGGTTATGAAAGGTATCTGTTCAAGTTTTACTCTTTTGATCAATTTACAAACTTGGGAAGACTAAATTGTATAGAGGCAAATTGTATTTCAGAGCCACGGGCATTCTGAATGAACTTAAAAATAGAGCAGAAACTCCAGTATTATCTAGACAGACTATAAACAAGGGAAAAAGGTTTATCTGGAAACAAGGGGAGCCTCTGCTGCAGTTAGAGGCAGCTCAGGATCTATATTTACCCACTCAGAGCAGCTCACAGCCTCAGGGGCTGTAAGTTTATAAATAACACCTTCTACACCAACCCATTTATACACTGTGCAGGCAACCTTTCCATCACTAAGAGCAGCTCTCTCTAGCACTGAGCACATCAGGAAACACAAATCAATACTTTTTCCAATAGTTTCTGTAAAACCACTTTTTCTAGTTGAAAATGCAAATAGTCTAAATGGCATGTACTGGGCAATACATCCAGAATACTTCACTGAAGTCTTACAAGTAGTATTACGGAATGTGACAATTTCAGAGGTGAAAAGACTGCTAATTTTCAGTCCAGTCTATGTGAGGATTAAGTGAAAGACTAGCAGAAAGATTTTATTTAAAAAATAAAACAAAACACATCACCAAATCTGCAAATATTAAATATTCACTGACATAACCTTCACAAAGACCTGACATTTATTTGGAAAGGCTCTGGCATGGAATTAAGCCCAGCAACAGTCCCAGCCCACCCCAAGGCCCTCAGCTGGGGTAGTGTTGTGGCACTGATGCACATCTGGAACTGCAGCCAGACTGGTTTGAAATCATCTCAGATGAACCAGGATGTGCCAGTCAGGCCCAGAGGTGCCTCAAGGCTGACTCCAGGGATCAAGACCTGAGACTACAGCAGCACAGCACCCATCTCCTTCTGGGGGAAGCAGATTAAGCAGACTGTATCATTTACAACTGTGGTTAACTTTCCAGAGATTAATTCTGCAGCTTTCCAAGGAAAAGCAAGAGAAAGATCCAACTAATCTGTGAGCTTCCAAGACAAAATAAAAACAGTAAAAAAACCCAAAATCATAATTTTTAACCTGAAGGATTGTGTCTTTTTTCAAGTTCAAAGGGAACTGCTTAAAAACTGAAGAATCAAGAAGCATCCTCCAATCCCACTGCTTCACAAACTGCATCTTTCTGGATAAATACTCTGCCCCTATGGCAGCTGGTGGGTGGAATTTTGCAGTTTCACTCAGCACATTACCACTGGCCTTCAGACACACTGCCAAGCTGTTTGAAAATTAGAGATATTCCTGACACTCACTCTGTCTGGATGGATGTCCAAGGCATCACAGAGCTTGCCTGCAAAGTGCTTGGACCTTTCAAAGGTTCCTCTGCCAATGCTGTAGGAGCCATCCAGGAGGAAAAGGACATCCAATGAGGCAGAGCACTGCATCACTAGGAGAAAAAAATATGTACACTGTGGAACTGCACTTTGTTAGCCCTGCTCTCTGGAAGCAGGTAGCCAAGAGCTGAAAATCCAGACAAATTGCAGAGGATGGACTGGGGCAGCCCAGTGTTCCCATCCCAAAGCCCACATGCACCCCTGCTCTGGCCTGCAGCAGCTCCAGCTCAGCTCTCAGTCTGCCAGACTCACCTTGGAGTTGAGAGCCCCAGCCTGGTGCCGGTGACAGCGCGGGAGCAGACTTGGATGAAGCATCACCAAATACAGGGAGAGTACACACAGGGAGGTGTGAGCAGCAGGGAAAGGGAGCCCTGCCCAATGGGACCTGCAGGCTCTCCCAGCCCACGGCACAGATGTAAATCCAGGAGGCATTTGCAAAGTCTACCAAGTCCCACAGAGCCCAGTGGGTTTCATCTGCAGCACATTTTTCAAAACAGGCTCTTATTTTCCTAAACATAAATTCGCTGAACAGCTCCCAGACACTGACAGAAACACTTTTCATTAAAATCAGCCTTTTATCTCCTCTTCAGAGATGTATCATCACCCCTGCCTGCATGAACATGCCTGCTCCCAGGTATTAGTTTCTGAGGTGCTTTTGCTGCAGTGGAAGCCCACAATTTCACTGACATAAATAAATATATAAATACCTACATAAATACATAAATAAATAAATAAATAAATACATACATAAATACATAAATAAATAAGTGGCAGACTGCAGACTATGAAGAGTCATTTTCAAAGTGTTTAAAGGGAAATATTTAAGTCTCCTCTGCAGCATTTGCCTGAATCAACTTCAAGGAAAAAAGAATCCATGAGTTCAATAGAGATCAAGCACACCAACCCCTTAAGAGGTGTTCTGGCCAGTCATGTTACTCTACCCCCATTATTATAATATTTTTCTTATCACTACTTTTTCCAAATCATTCCTGCTAGCCAAAACCTGAATTTATAATTAGGGTTTTCTAATACCAGATTACAGGGATTGAAAGTTGTGAGGCATTCCCTTCTGGGTCACGGGCTCTCCTAACAGGGCACCCAGCCTTGCCCTGGGGCACAGTGTTGAGGACAGGCTGGAGCACAGCCTCCCTGCCAGCACTGTCCTGGCTTGTCAGCCTTGCCCTTGGAGCTGGAACAGGGCTGATATCCCTGCCTAAGCATGCACAGAGAAAACTGCAGAGCCCCCAGATTGGGCTCAGCATGGAGAAACACTCCTCAGGTGGCTCTGCAGGTGAGGGGTGCAATGCAGTTCTTCAGCAGGGATTTGTAAGCATCATGTCTGCACCCATCAAAGGATTCCTGGGGATGTGCAGCAGGGAGAAGCCCCAAACACCCATCCTCGGGATGGGAAGTCTGAGCTGAGCACATGGTGCTACAGGATACAACTGCAGGGCATGCCAGGCAATGGAATAAATGCAATCTATCCCTTGACAGACAATAGGAAAAAAATGGCTATCAGAAGAGAATTCACAACAGTTTATCAGTAACTGACTGCAAGTACGAGGGAGCTGCAGGTGAACATGTACTGGCCAGCCAGAGCCCCATCACCTCTGCTCCCAGGAACCTGACTGTGCCAGCTCTACAGCCTGAAAAAACTACCCAAGCGGGAGGTCTGATCAAGTCTGTAATTAAACACAGCTCTTTCAATCAGGATTGCTTGGAGCAGGCTCTGAAGGCACTGATGGAAACATCATCCAGTTGGCAAATAGCCGGTTTGGGAAAACCAGAGAAGATCAGGCCCCTGGAGAGTTAAACCAATGAGGAAGAAAGACAGGCTAGGGTGGAGGCAGCCACAGCGCTGTGATTGCCAGAGCATTGCTGAGGACTTTATGGACTGAAGAGGGGTTAATAAATGTAAATAATTACAGCGACAAAAAACTTATAAAAACCCAAAACAAAACACACCAAAACAACCAAAGAAAGAGGGAATTCAGTAATAGAAAAAAAACTTGCTTTATAAATCAATCTTACACTGGCCAGCAGCTGAGATCTTGCCAATCATCTCCTGGCCAACGTGGATTTGTTGTATACCCAACACCAGCAAAGCTGCGGGATCAAACAGATAATCATCATGAACAAGACATACAGGATTTAACCTATAACAGCAAAAATGCTGGTATAGGTTTCACAGTTGCAAAAAATAATTTGGTTACGCAGCAGTGTATCTATGTCAGGAAATTCCTTCTAGTAGAGAGAGACACAGAGAGCATGAAGAATGACAAGGACATGACTCCAGCACACAGGACAGTCTGCTCACTGCATGCAGGGACACAGTACAAAAATGAGAGTGAGGCCAGCCTTAGGCTTCTGAGATTACAGCCATACACACTGGGTAGATTTATGCACATTTAATATCGTAACATCAGCTTTTCCCACATCAGTTAGACACTTTTACATATGGATCAGTCACATGCTCAAATTCTCAGAAAAGCTGCTTCCCCAGATATTATTTTCTCTCCTTTTGTGTGAAACTATGTTTCAGAAGTTTATCCCTAAACCTCCTGGAGAGGCACTGACTTGGCTCTCATTCCTGAGTGAAAAACTCCAGCTGGAGATAGGGAAGCACCCAAGAAAAAAAACACTGATGCAAAATGGCAGCTTTAAACGTACCTTGGGAAAGCAGGAAAATGCAGATGGACTCAAATGACAAGAGGTTCATGGTGACAAATCTGGAGGGAAAAAAAAAAGCAAAAAGAAACGAGGAGATGAATAGAAGTCCAGTTCCTAAAGCAAATTTCTTTACCTGCAGCTGATCATCTTCTTCCTGGGTGTCTCAGGTGATGAGCTCAGAAACATTTTGTCTGAGGGGCAAAAGTAACTCCTGCCCTGGGGAGAAGGGTAGGGAACAAATAGAAGGAAAAACCATGAAAATGAGGAAATAATAGAAAAGAAAAAATAATAAATCTCTCAACATACTCCTGTCCTCTCCCATCACATCTGGAGAGAGCAGCCCTACCTCCTCTCCTCTGCTCGCTCTCCTGTGCACCTCCCTTTCGCAGCTGAGTCCCACCAGGGCCCCATGTGCCTAGGGAAGCTGGTGCAGAGCCGAGCGGAGCTGCTCTGGGTCCCCGTCCCCATCACGGGTCTCCAACAACACTCAACCCCAGGCTCTTTCACACCTTATGTTTTACAAGGACTGGCTTTCTGGGGAGATGTTTTTATGCATAACTGTCCAGCAAACTCAATTTTCTGCTCATTTTTCCTTTGAAATCAGAGAGGCTGCCATCACATCATAGGTAGATTTCAGTGACACTTTCAAACATGCCCAGATTTAGACCAAATGTATCTGTTAGAGATCTTGGCTTTCTATTTCAAACATGCATATTTATTTTTTCTCCAGATTAAAAGCACTCACTAGACCACATTCCTGATGTGTCTCTGCCCCTGTCATTGCAAAAGCAGATTTTCTTTATGTAGTTAAAGACAAGTAAATGTATTCCTTGATAATTAGCTCTATTCATTGTTTTTCCAGAAAACAGGGGAGGATTTTTCTCAGGAAAGACTTGTCTCTGCAGCAAATGATACATCCCTCACATCAGACAAGGCAAGATACCTAAAAGCAGGCCGTGCTCAGTAACCTGCACAGGTACAAAATGAAGAGGATTAAGGAATCCCCTCTGGGATCACCCCCACTAGGGATTACAGACAGAAAAACACTGTCTTGCAGTACCAGGCACATCAAGCATCACTCTTCAGCACATCCTCCCTCCAGACTGCCCCTGCCAAATGAGCAGATCCCAGGCTTACCAAAGTAAGGGGAGATCAACACAAAATGTGAATTCATTGGGGAAGCCCCAGTGTGTGCCCCTCAGGAGCTTTAAGCCCTGCAAGTGCCACAGAGGAAAGGTCATCCTCCTGCCATGCCTCAAGGACATTGTTCCCAGGAGCTGTTTCCAGAGTGCCCATCACCCACAGCCAGACAGGCCTCTGCTTGCAGTCAGGAGGGACAGGTGTTGTGGGATTTCACATTGTTTTCATACAAAACATTGACAGGTCAAGATGTTTCTACAACTTGGTTTTATCTTGGGTTTAAATCAACTGATCTGCAGGGTGAATGCTTTGCCTTTTAGCCCAGCCAGACTCTCAGCAACAGGAATTGAAAGAAAGCTTCATCACCTGCTGCTCATCAGCATTAGCCCAGGATTAGCAGCAGCAACCTTAGCAGCTTTGCTGGGGGAGTGGGGTGGTGAGTGAAGGACATTTTCATTTATCTTTTCAGCCATTAAGATAGGGAATTTTAATAATGTCTACCTCAAAAATATTTTTCTAAAAACCACACTAAGTCAAAACTCCTATTTTTGTACCCATATTCTCACTTGGACACATGAATATGACGACTTACTCAAAGCTAGGAGTTGTAACCATGTGTAATGTGTTTGGAGGAGTGAGACCAGAGATGGGAAAGAGAGGTAAAGGGGAGAAAAGCTCCTCCTGACAAGTACCTTCCTAACATGTCTTTCAGCATTGCAAAGTATCACTCATTTTAATAGGGGAGAGAGCAGAAAAGCACTGCAGATTCATGAAAACATATTCTCAACAAGCCAAAGCAACCTCCTGTCACTGCTGAGGAATGACCCCAACTTGCTGAGAGGAGCTCACTGCTATGTGCTCATCTGCTGTTCAGATGGAGGGAGGGAGAGGGGAGACCAATCTTCCTGTCTCCTTTTTCAGTCTCTCTCATAATTGTTTCCCATAAGTAAATTCTACTTTTTTCTTCTTGCCAAGGCTTGGAGGCAGTGGGCAACTTCTGTCAGGAGCCACAGACATCCCCCCCCTGCCCAGCCACAGGTGCTGCTTGGGGGCAGCTCCCAGTGGGATCTGAAACTGACAACGGGGAAATGTTTAACTTCTCCTTAAAACAAACATCACAAATTTAAGTCTAAAAGTTTTGACAATGTTTTTTCTCCAAGGGATAAACAGGATTATATTTCCAGAAGATGCTCTACAAAATCAGTTTATTTATTCTCCCCCACCCAGTTCTGCAGCAAGGGAGTTTTGAGAAGCCTTTTTCCCCCCGTGCAATAAAGGCTTCTGTACATAAAGAGACCTTGATCTTGCAGCACTGCTGACATGGGGTACTGACAAAATCAACACACTGCAGATCAGATCCTGTATGACCCATGAGTTACAGAATAAAAGACACTTTTCTGACCTGAGATACTTTAAACTTCTTGTGTAGTTTCTTCCTGACAGAAGTGCTTATGCTACTGCCTTTGCCTGTGGCTAGAGCAGCAGGAGTGTCTCCATGAATGTGTCACTTTTCAAATCTTTTGCCACATGCAAACCCACCCAATGGAGCTGGAGCCTGTCTCAGCATCACAAGCACTTGATGCTTGCAGCAGTGGGAAGCCAGTGTAGATGCTGGGAATAAATGTTTTATGGAGTGGCTGAGAAAATGATCTGCGGGAATTTGGTGTCTTAGGACAAACAACAGCATAAGAAAATAAACAAGCAAACAATATAATTATATTGAGGTTATAAAAGCATACACATACCTTTGTCACATACTGTACTGAGAACTCATTCAAGGCTAGGGGTTCTGGAGCAATTAGTGTAATTGGTTTTGTCACCTTTCCCCTGACCTGTGTGAATCTTGCCAGAGAATCTCCAGATGGGTGTCTGGCGTGACCTGCTCTGCTTTGCATCAGCCACAAACATCCGCACCCGAGGTGGATCAATTCTGGTCTACCTATGGCAGGATCAGGTGTGAAAGGTTCCCTAACAATGGAGTGGGAGAGCTCTCAGCTTCACTGATTCCCTACAGCAGAGGCTGAAAGGGAAGAGGGAAAATCCTGTTTTAAGGTCTCTGGCATTTACAGAAGCTCTCATAATATGATATGTGCTGAGATCATCTCATACCTACCCCCTGTATTACAAAACTAACCCCAATGCTAACCTTCCTGAAGCATCTCTGTGAGCCCCAAAGGACAAGCCACAGTCTGGGAATTACCTCCATGGTGTCACTCCACAAACAGGTACAAGCTGTTACCTGCATGCATTTTCAGGACAGTGATCTGTGGACCTTTCCTAAAGGAGACTTCCTAGAGGTCCTACTTTAGAAAGTATGGATCTTCCACGTGGGTTTTTGTTTTGTTTGTTTTGGGGTTTTTGTCTTCTTTTTAAGAGCTGTGATAGGGTCAAGAGAGATCTACTTTCTAAGCCATTCCATCTACTTATTCCTCTCAGAATCTTTCTGGAAGACCCAGATATCTTTAAAAGCGCACACTGAAGATGACATGGTTGGTACCCCAACACACAGAAGATGAGGAGTGGGACAGAACACACACAGCCTGTCCAGAACAGCCCTTGCTGAATAAAGGGGGAAAATCTGGTTGTGTGGACAATTTATCTGACCCCACCTTTACTATGCAAAATAAATAAAAAGGCTGCTCTCATTTCTTTCATGAAATATCCAGACATAGTTCAGGTAAAATCCTTCCTTGATTATCAAGTCTTGATCGAGTTGTTATTGTGTCTTTTACAGAAAGATTACTACAGCCATGAGACACAACCTGTTGGAAAGCCTGCCCTGGCAGGCTCAGCACTTTCTCCTGGCCGCACCCCAAAAGCGCTAGAAATAAAGTAATTAAAGCACTAGAGCACGGGCTAAGTCTGGTTTCCTGAGTGGTAGTTTTGTTGTTTTTTTATTTTACTAACGCAGCATGGTACTATTTATTTATTAGATTGAAGAGATTCACGCCGTGCTTCGGCCAAGCTTCGGCAATCCCCGCACTGAGCTCGGGAATCCCTGCGGGGGATCAGAGGCTCCTCCGGACCCGGGTCAGGACCTCGGCTGCCGGACCGGCCTTTGGGGTGCCTCCTGCCCCCTCCTCCTGCCTCGGGCTGCACAAGGGCTCTGAGCCGGCTGCCGCATCCCCCGCTGGGAACCAGCCCCAGCCCTCTCCGGGAAGGGAGTCCCGGGCTCCACCGCCTCCCCGGGCTCCACCGCCTCCCCGGGCAGGCTCTCCCGGGCTCCACCGCCTCCCCGGGCAGGCTCTCCCGGGCTCCATCGCCTCCCCGGGCAGGCTCTCCCGGGCTCCACCGCCTGCCCGTCCTGTTCCGCGCCGGGGAGCTGCCCTCGAACCCCGCTGCAACCCGGCTCTGCTGAGCGAGCGAACCCCCAGCATCTCTGAGCCCCACACGGCCCCTGCCCTGCCAGCCGGAGGTTTAGGGTGTTCTCAGTTAAAAAGGGTGCGAAGAAAGCTCTCCGAGCCGCACTTTACCTTTTCTCGGCAGACTCTGCACGGCCCCGGTGCACCTGCGGGGGATGTGAGCAGCCTTCTCCCCACTCGGATGAACACACCCTGTTCAGCTGTGACAGCCTCCCCTCCGCATCTACCACAGCCTGAACCTATACTACGAGCTGGGGGGTGGGGAAACAACCCCAGGAACACCCACATTGGTGGAGGTTACATTTAGGACTCCTCCACTCCTCCAATAGACTCCATACAGCCAAAAATGTCAGCAGCCCTGGAGCAGAGCCAGCAGGCCCCGCAGCAGCACCAAGTACAGACACACATTCACTGCCTCACAGCAGCCTCAAGTAGCTTCATGTAGGATTCAATTTTCTTCCAGGATGTTTTTCCACAGAAAACTATTATTGACCTGTGAGGAATACCATATTCACACCTACCACACCTGGAGGAATGATGTAAGGGGCCTATTCTAAAAATTATGCTATTATTATTTTTCTGTGCCAGTACTAGTAGTTGCACAGAACCGAGCTTTTAGTCAAAGAAGAGCTTGCACACCTCTTCCCACACAAAACCTAAACATCAATCAGTAATTGAATTGTACAGGCAAAACACACCCTTGTGTGTACACAGTATGCACACCAAGTGCTAAATAAATAATTTCAGTCAAACCCAGTAAGCAAAGTATGCTCAAGGTGCTCCAACACTGCTTCATAAATTAAAATTATCTTGTAAGGATAAAAAAAAAAGCCTTGTTGTTTTACAGTGCTAGGTAATTTTTACTTATTTCATACTACTTCTCTTTCAAAAGTGCTGTTACTCTAGACTTCCAGTTCATGCTTTTCATGTTCAAAAGGGAACAAAGAAATTTTATTTGCAAGAGCATGCATGAAACTAAGTCTAGATAAATATAATCCATAGGTGACAGTTCATCACTTCAAACTAAAGATTTCAAGTAGATTGAGAGATTAAAACTAGCAGAGAAAAACAAATGCAAGAGGAAGCCAAGGCTACATGAGGAACTCCACTGGGTTTTCATACTTTTTGCTTGATTTGTTCCTACATCAGTGCTCCCAAAAGTTCACCTGAAAAGGAGGGGTGAACTAAGTATCTGAAGCAGATGAAGTCACTTACTTCTCCAATTACTGCCACGTGCCTTTGTGAAACACCAACCACTGCTTTCCAGCTTCGTTTATCCAAGTAGAACAAGCAAAGATTCACTTTTCCTTTGACCTGTTTATGAAATGCTTTTGGCTACTGTAGTCAAACTCATCTTCTGAAATGCAGTAAGTGTTAGGAGAGGGTAGATGTGGACAAGTGAACAAGAGGTGTGGGAGTAGTAAAACATCAGTGAGGTGCTGTGCATGGGGGCAAATGCTTGTGCAAGGCACTCTGGTCCCAGGGAGTCGAAGGACACCTGACTAAGCCACAGTCTTGGTTCAGAACCAGGGGCATGAACAGAACTCCAGAAATCCAAGTGCAAGCACTCATCTGATTATTAGTTACTACACGAATTTGATAGTACAGAAACTTAGAGGCAGAAAAAAATATCAACTTGAGTGTAATAAAACATTAAGTGAAAGGAAAATATTTTGCAACAATTTTAATCTCCAGATTCTCCCAATCTGCAAAAGCCCAAACTTGAAGTGTGTGCTTTAAGTGGACAAAAAGGCTGACCCTGCACTTTCAATCAGCAAATGGCTACTGTGTTCTACAAAGAATAATTTGACATTCCTGAATTAGTCAGAAATGACAACTAGGTATTCAACTGAAGAAATACTGAAAAACTCTTTAATAATTTGATGCAGTACTTTTGTCATAGCCTAGAATGGCTCTTTTTTATGATGATGAAAAAACTTCATGGGGTAGAGATCCTGATGATGTAGCTACACACATAACAGCTTCAATACAATTCACTTCAAAATAACATTCACAGATGCATATTATACAGCATAAGTGTAAAGAAAGAACTGTGCACAATAAAGTATTTACTGATTTTAGAGGACTACCTGTATGCAGTCCAAGACAACATTCAACTTTTAATGGTACTCAAATCAAGTTTATGAAGAACAAATCTAACTTCAGACCAGAAATTAGATTGAAAGATGAATAAACAAAAAAAGGTAGTTTCCCAAGTAATATAAATAGTACCAAAGTTAAGTGAGCCTTACAACTGCAATAATTTCAAATGCAAGTCTGCAGAACAGACTCACAATGTAATGGCCATTCCATAAACTTCTGTGCATTCAACAAGAAAATACAAGCAAAAAGTTTAGTAGCACATGGTGGTATAAAACGAGAACAGAACAGAAATTTTAGCTTGCAGCTTTGCAATCCTCTAAGTTACATGCTTGGGTCACAGTAACAATGCAAGCATACAGATAAATGCAGGAACTTAAACAGCACAGTTTCTATGAAGTGACCCTCATTGATGCTCTTGATCTTCAAAAAAAGGAACTGCAGCAACTTGGTGGACATGCAAATGAAATGGTGCATGTCAGAGACTTAGTGCTCCAGCAGATTTTTCATATCAGTGAATCCATCTGGATTCCCAAACTTGTTTAAAAGGAAGAGTAGGACTTGTTTATGCTTTTCAAGCTGTGGAGTAAGTAGAAAGAGTTAGAAGTGTACAAATCTTTTTTTTTTATTTTATTGCTGATTTCAGATCAGGGTAGATACGGATACAACAAATTCAGCTAAGTACCAATTAATTCAATAAATATATTCAGTTCCCTTCTGTTGCAAAATCTTCTGGAAGGGAAAAGCCAATAGAATTGTAACCTATTTCCCCTTGCCCATGTATGTGTTCTTTTTTTTTCCCTGAAGCAGCTTCCTCAAACCAAATTGATTAAATACTCAAATTAAGATTGACATCAGCATCTTAAATTAGACAACAAAATATCACTCCTGAGACTTCAAACTCTAAAAAAGTGAAGTAAGAACTGTATGTGGTACAGTTCTAAAGTACAGACTAATGAAGTCTATGCGCTCTAAACATGATCCTCCCTCAGCTTCAGGGTGCTCTAAATATTACCTTATATAAAACAACCTGAGAAAAAGTGCCAGGATGCATTTCACAAAACTTCCATGTTTCAGTAGCTATTATTCCCCCTTCTCCCATTTGCTTCCTACCCAGGGTTTCTTTTGAATTCTGGAAACATAAAAAAGAATGCATTGCTTGGAGTGAATCTTACTTGCACTTTTAATTCCATGCAGCAGCAGCTGGTCTCACCTCCATTACCTAAAAAAAACCAAAGTGAATGAGCAAAATACATACGTTCCTTCCCTAGTTTTCATTGTCCAGGATTTTTAGAAGGGAAAGTCATTTAGCTACACCCCATGCTTACAAGTTCTTCAGAAAAAGCAAACTGAAGTAACCAAACCAAATTATGTACCTTGATGTTCACCATGAGAGTTTTCAGCACTGCAGGATGTGACCAAACCCTCCTTCAGCAGTTTGTCAGCTACATTTACATAACCATTATCAAAGTGTTTCTCCACTGTTACTAAATTAACATTTCCATTAATCCCTTTCACTGTAATTGTGACGTGTTGCTTCAATAATAATTTTTTCACAGTGTCAAGCACTAATGGAGACCACTCAGCTTTCTCTATTCCTGCAAAAGGAACATCAAGTTTATTGTATCAATAATTCTTTTAAGATATAACTTGAATTATACATATATGTTTTGGAAAATATGATGCTAAATTTTCCTCATATAAATAGCTTACACTCTAGAGATAATGAACTAAAAACATGTTTTCTAAACCAGCTTTTACCATGTTTACCAATATACTATTTCAGAAGATCATCACGTTGTGTACCAGTATTAAGGAATGAACACTACCACCAGAACAGGTACAAATTTATAATGTTCAAGAAGATTTGTCAGGGGTTTTTGGGGTGCGTTTTTTTGCTTATTTTGGGGAGGTTTTTTTACCTGCAAGTGAACATGTAATTGTCTGAAAAGGCAGCTTTAAATAGGAATCGGTGATTGGCAGCACCTTTGAAAGGGGTAAAGTTTCTGTGCTGCCATAGTCTCCATAGAGTACTTTCACTGAAGACTGGGAAGCTTCCAGAACAATAGCTCTGTACCAATTGCCATTACCTGAAAAGATTGGGATAAGAATAGTCACTTGTGAAGAATCATCTTATAAACACAGTTTATTGCAAGAACAAGAAAACTGTAGAGTTTTCCAGGGATTTTTAAATATTGTGGTGGGTATATAAAAGGCCAATTGACAAGAAGCACAATTAAGAGATCCATAAGCACTTTCAAGTTGGTGTTTTTTCTTCATCTGAAACAAAAATTAAAGCTATGTTTTACACTGGCCAAGGAAATGGAAGGACAAACAATTGTCTCACCTGAAAACTGAGCACAACAGGCTTCACCCAGCTTTGGTTGGAAGGGCTGTTTGTTACAAGATCTACAATAGTCTTCCAGTGAAATCAGCTCCTTCAGGAGCTGCTTTTGCCCTACAGAAAAAAAACCCACATTGACTAACCACATCTGGGTACCACGAAGAGCATAATTAAGCCTCCCTGCTCCCACCTTTGACATTTTTTGTATTTTCCTACTGTCCAAGATACATTTCTACACCGTTCAGTTCACTACACACATTCATTTTATTATCTAGCTTGCAACAGTGTCTTCTTACTGGTATTAGGAACAAGGAACATTTTTTCTTACCCTTATTTGGAACTGGTACAGCATAGAACAAGTCTGGGCTTACAACTTCTGTTACCCAGACAGACATGGTTTCATCTACAGCCAATTCAATTGACTTCCAGTGCCCAAGTGAGGTTGCTAATAAAAATTGTAAGAAAATGCAGTGTTATCACTGTCCTCCAAGTACACATGTATTTTAAGGAACTGCTTTGATATTTATAATATTTTTTTGAATTTCAGATACAACTACATATCTTCCCTTCAGGAAGACAAATATAAACCAAGATAAATTATGCTTACTTTGCTGTTCATAAACTGTTGGCATATAAAAGTATCTAAAGTAAAAAACACCTCAGAAAAATTAAGATCTTGAAAAGCAACCATGAGAGAAGTTTCAGCCATAGAAAACTGCTAATTCTCTAATTCCCACAGAGTCAAACAATACTCATTTAAGACAAACACAGCATTTTTTCCTTCTCTTTTTGTCTGTAATGCCACCTGCAGGGCAGCTGGTGTTCAACTGCAAGAACAGACAATATAAACAAAACTACGCATTGATATTAATTGTAGTTAAACAAGAAAATAACAGTTAAAGGCTGGAATACTGGAAATTCTTGTTAAATCTAGAAGTTAACAATTTTTGAATTACCTTTTTGGTCAACAGACTTTGGAAAGTTATTGTTATCTTGTAGAACTTCCTTTACAACCTTTACAACCAGTTTTTCTGAAGTTAGTATCTCATTGATCATTTTTGGACAATCTGTGGAATTGTCAATAAGCACCACACCTGCCCCATCTTCAGAAAGGGAAGTTACTGTGGCTTGAAGCTCTAAGCCTGAAGCATACATATGAAATCTTTTTGTAGCTTCTGGACTCCATTTGCTATTTCCAGGCTTTATACCTAGGAAGTAAAATAACTGTTAAAATATCTCCATTCATTAATATTGACTTTCCTCAACATTTATAATTTCCTTTGAAAAATACTTTAAAAAAACATGTCTTCAGAGCATATCCTGAAAAATCAAGGCTACTTTTACTACTCCAGGGCAACACATTGTCCTTCATCCTGTTACCTGCTCTCCCTCTTCCTCCTTTTTTTCTACATGCCCACATTTCCTTGGGACTCCCAAGTTTCATCTTTTATATCTTATGATTCAGCCAAGGAAATCCTTTGCACAATCCTTAGCACAAACAACACTATTAAGACTGTTTTTGAATCAGTATAATCACGCCTTTTTATCAAAGAAGCAGACAAAACATAAGTGTTTTAAGGTTCTTTGGGTGGGGGAACAGCAAAAGACACTTGAACAAAATAAGGTTTTGAGCTTTTTCCTGTTTCCACATTTTTCATTTTTAAACCAAGCAGATTACATCAGAAAGAAAGAAAAATCCTGCAAATTTTTGAACAGTGTGGAAAAATATTTTGCAGAACATTGAGAAACAGCAGTACAGTGCCAAACTCTTCAGGAGTCAAATGAAAGAGAACTGAAAGGCCAACTTGCTTCATTAAAACAGATTAGCTCCTTTGCCTGCAAAAATTTTGAGAAATAAAATTGCCAAAAGCACATTCACTCCTAGCAAGGCAACAACCAAAAACCAGTAAGCACTACAGATGAAGCAGAACTAAACAAGCTCTCTTTGACCAGTAAAGCAGTAAGCAAAGTTGATGCAGATCACTCCAGATCACTGCAGGAGCTCAGAGAAGAGAAAGCAAACAAACAAAAGAACACAGTTCTGCCCAGTATTCCCTGTCATCACCTCCTTCCCCCAAAGCAGCAAGTCTCTAAAAGCAAGAGCTCTTGTAAGAGAAAATTTGTAAGGATTCACCTGAGAGCCAGCATTTAATTGCTTGAAATGGAAGTTTTAGGAATGAGGAGGAGATCTGTCTGATATTATCCAGTGGTACTTCCTCAGTATTTCCATAGTCCACAAAGCTCACTCGAACAATTCCATCTGAAGTGACATTTTGCACCACAGCACGGTACCAGTTACCATCCTCTGATTTTAAAGAAGATTAAAAAAAAATTAATTATTACTTCACACATTTGCTATGTCTACCAGCTTTCACTTGTTAGTAAATAAATATAATTATTTGCTGTCCTCTTCCAATGTAAACCATCAGCTAATTTTTCATGTTCACCCTATAAAAACAAAACTATTTTAGTCTGTTACTTGCCAGAGTAAAAAGCACAGCAAGGGTCTCCATTCTTAGGCTCAAAAACATCTGGTGGTGTTTTCTGACAGTGCTCAGACAATGATTTGTTAAGTGAGTTCAGAGCAAGTAACTCTGAAAATTAAAAAGAAAAAGTAAAGATTAGATCAATTAAATGAGCTGGACTTGAACTTTATCAATGCTGTTCACTCTACAGTTTACTTTAAACCTTCAAATGTATTCCTTGACTACATAAGTCAAGGAACAAACATCCCTCACTTTTTAAGAGCTGCCCCATATTTTTTGTTTGAATGCCTTTAGCTCCCTCTTCAGCCACTGAATTTTGTCACATTCTTCTAATATTTAAAAAGTGAGTAGCTATCAGAAGTCTTTATACAGACTTCTGGTAGATAAACAAGATTACTTTTTAACTAATCCAACAAGAAGTCATGTCTCAATGGCGGCATTTTCTCATTTTTGTGTTACAATTATTATATCTCTATGTTTTTATAAATTACAAGAGTGTACTAGAGAGAGCTCCAGTAAATATTATCTTGGCACAGGGAACATGTCTCTTATTTGCTTTTATAAACAGAACCACTGAATAAGGAAGGGTGGAGAAGACCTTCAAGATAATGTAGTCCAACCATCAACCCAGCACCACCATAATCATCCCTAAGTACCAAATCCAGATGCTTCTGGCACACTTCCAGAGACAATGACTCCACCACCTTCCTGGACAACTTATTCCAAAGCCTGGACACTCTTCCAGTGAAAAAAAAAAAATAAGATATCCTTTGGCTAGGTTATGGTAACTCTTCCACTTTCCTCTAATGCCTATCTTCAACATTTCCAAAAATATCAATTTCTTTGTCATTCCACTTGTATTCTTAGATAAAAACCTCAGAGGTAAAGCCTTTGTACTGTAAGCTTACTTGACTATAATAAATGACAAATCAAAATCAAAGAAATTATCAGAAAGAATTCAGCTGAATAAACTTACCATGGCTGTTTGAAATCTGACAGTAGAATTCTCCAGGATTGTACACTGTACATACTATGACACTGAGTGTTTGGTTAAGAGTTAATTTAATCCACTTGCACATTCTTTTGTTCGTTGTGTCCTCTAGAGAGGACAGAGAAAAGCACAGAATGAAAAGAAATTAAAGTAACTCTTACAGGAAAAAAAAAACCCGAAACAATCCCTAATACTCATTTGTGTCCTCAAATTTCTTGTTCTAAACTGTCCAACAGACAATTACCAGTGAGAGCCTCACTGGAGTAAAACCAAGTCAGAGAAACATGCCAGTTAATGTATTCTTCATTCCCAAAAGGAGCAAGCCACAGATAGCAGGGAAGAGTAATCACAGAGAGAGGTAAAGACTAGCTGGCAACAACCTGGGCAAGAGGGACGCTGGGGAACCTTGGTTCCTGGAAACAGGGTAGGAAGCATAGAAGAGGGAAACATCAGTCACCAAGACTACTGAAAACAATCTAAGGAAGAAGAGCAAAAAATATTACTATAAAGACTGGTTACAGAAATTTGCACTGTATATTGTACTCAGGTACCTAAAAGATGCTTATTTTTTAATACAAGTTGTAGAATACATCATGGGAACACTAAGTCATAGCATACAGGAGAACACAGTTAAAAACCTGCATTCAACAGCTCAGTGACAGAAATTACAAAAAGGTGAGAGGCAACCAATAAACCAAGGCAGTACACAACAGGTCCTGGATGAGGGCCACAGATCAGAATGTGTTTAGATACAGCCAGGAAAGTTACTGTTTATTTGAAATTTCTGTAAGATTCCTTACTCTTTTGAATACACACAAGGAATAATTGCATCCTGGCCACAAGGCATCTAGGGAGAAAGACTGAAATTATTTAAACATAGACTTGACAAAAAGTTTTCAGTACCAATGGATCAGAAGAGAACATGTATGTCTGCCAGACACAGGATGGAAAGGAACTTAGCATGCTTCATGTAAGAGAAGCCAGGAATCTTCCCCAAGATTTCAAAGAAATTCAATGTAATTTTTGCAAAAATCTCTCAGATTGAAGCTTTGGTCTCTAAATTCAAACAAGTCAATTTAGGCATAGACTTGAAGCTTTGTAAGCTACTACAGTCAAATTTTCAAAGACTAAGTGTGTGGGTTTATGTGGAAAATACAGGACAATGAAAATTGAGGAAATATTATTTGCAGTGATGGATTAGGGTGTAAGAACAGCAGGCAATAACTCATCATAGCCTAATTCAACTGGAAATTTTAAGACTTCTAACCAGAGTAAGTACCAATTTCCAAAAGCAGGCAATTACAACTTTGTTAAGCATGAACACATGGACACACACATACAGACACACAACTTCTTTACTGCTAAGTTGCTATGGCTAAACTTTGGACTTGTGAAGACTAGACTTGATAAGCCAGACTGAAAAGCTCTTACCATATAAGAGCTTGCATTCTCTGTGCCCACTCTAGCAGGAGGTTGAATGCCAGTGCAGTAGGATGTGCTCATACTCACCATTGGCCTGCTCAACATCACTTCCTCTGGCTGCTGGTAAGGCCATGATCAGCTTCTCAGCTGCAAAACCTTCCTCGATGAGACGGCTCGATATATTTACTGCTGGAGTACCTGATGCATCTGTAAGCTGCACCACAGTTCTAGAATTCTTTTTATCCACTACTTTTACTGTCAACACTTTGTCTTTCACCAGTTTTTTCATGCAAGAAATACCTTCTGAGGTCCATGTTCCTAATGGTGGCTTTACACCTAAAAAGTCACATAGTATGGAAAGGTTCTGAGGTCAGTCCAACTGTCACCATTGTGTAGACAGGTACAACAACTGCAAGTACATTCTGAAATATTTGTCACATTTTGTAGATATGCCATGGCAATTAAGAATTCTGGAAATAATGCCTACCATTACTTCCATCCTCCCCCATGTTTCAATGTGAGATACTATAGGTGTGATGGTTATGCAATACCAGTTCTTCCCCCTATCTAGTTTGAAACTGCTTATCATTTACTTCATACCTGCCAGGCTACATCTTATGGCTTGGGCTGGCAAGTCCATTAATCTTGGAATTATAGGACGAAGTCTGGTCAGTGGAAGAGAGTCAGAATTACCATAATCCATATAGTCCACCCAAACAGTGTCTTCAGAAACATAAGCTGTAATAGCAGCACGATACCAAAGGTTGTCTTCTAGAAAGAACGATACAGATGTAATGTCTGAGAATAGAATGATTTTTTTTCCCAGACCAACATAAAAATATATCCATCTCAGTGCAGCTCAGGACTACCAGGTGTTGGCTAAGTAGCACTTTGAGAAGCAGTCTATCAGAACAGCATCATTACATACAATCTCATTTCTTCTGTGCTTCTTTTGGGGACTGAAAATTCAAAGATATATTGATTTCCAACCCTGGGGAAATTATGCTTAGCAAAATAAAACCCCCAAATTTTCCATGATCTCTTAAAAACCTGTTCTAAGTAATCTGAATCCAATGTTAAGAGCTTGCTCCATAAAGGGACATTCTAAAATTGGTATTTTACAAATGTAATTTCTTAAATCACTACCAAGCATCACCCACAGCTAAAAACCAGAGACAAATAAACTGTATATGAAACATTTCTAAACATATTTACAGAATGTATCTTTTTGGTAATAAATTCGAGTGACATAGTATTTCACTCAATTTTTTACCTGTGAACTGGGCACAGCACACATTGCCAGCAGCAGGACGGAAAGATGGACTACTGGGAAATTTGTCACAGTATTCATTAAGAGAAGCTTCAAGCTCAGCAAGCTGACCTGGTGTTAAAATAAATAGGTTTTGGAACATAGCCTGTCTTGCAATTATTACAAAACAATTAAGCTCAAAGCCTGGAAGAACATCTTGTAGTCTAACGGAAATTATTTCAAATGTTTAACATTGATCAGACTTGGGCTCCTCAATCATTAACATCCAAGAGAGTCCTCATGTGTGTCTGAGGAATCACAGCAGTGAACAGACAGGGAAAACTAGTAATGGGTTTTTTCAGCAAAGGGACAAAGCTGAAGCCAGTGCAAACTGAAAGCAAGCTAGTGAAAGCATGCCAAGAAGAAACCAAGGAAGACAGCTCTTCCAACAACAGGCAGATGATGAGGTATGCCACTTCTTCCCAAAGGACACACCTTGCTACTGATTACCCAGAATTAAAAGGCTGCACATGGACACAGAAGAAAAAAGTCACGTTCTTCCAGCCACTTCCTACCAAAGAAAAAAATGCCATACTAGGCATTCTACATCCCATTTCCAACCCAACACTTACAGGCACTTTGCATCCGCTGACAAAAAAAGGTGTCTGGATTTTGAATGTGGGAAACCACACCAGAAAATTCATCTCCGATACTTAAAGAGACAAACTTGGCAACTGAATTAGTACAGTGAGTAAAGTCTTCAGGTATTTTTTTTTCACTTCCCTTGGAATGGTTTTCAGATACTGCACATAAAAAAAGAAAAAAAAGGTTGCAAATAAAAAGCTAGCTGACTTTGAAAATATAAATATACTGAAATAGTTTATTCTTTTTATTGATGCTTTGGACTTTGAAGGCTCCTGTCATATTATGTAATTAATGCTCACATAATAAGTACTATACGAATGTTTTATACTATTAAAATGTGTATGAGCTAATGTCAGTAGTGACCTGAAGGAAGCTCTACTAGCCAACATTTTTAAGTTTGAGATGGTGCTAGTGAGCAGCTAGAATATCATGCAGCACAAGCAGACCCAAAATTCCCCAAGTTTAGCTTGATTTGCTTGCTTACCTCTTGGAGAGTCTCCTTTGGCATCTATTCCTGAAGTTAAATGAGACTTCATTTCTAAGGGAATTTTATTTTGGCAGTCTTCTAAAATATAGATGCAAGAATAAAAGACTTATCATACAAAATAGCCATCAGCTAGTTCCACTTCAGAACCATCCTCAGCCAAATCTACATTCCTATCACAAGATGAGCATGTTCTACTTATTTGTTCAGCACTTAATGTTTAAAATGCAAAACAAAGGTAATTTCAGAGTAGCTCAACTACTTGAGTTCTCTGGGCATATTTACAGCTCCAAGACTGCCTGACTTTGTAAAATGAGCAAAGAAATAAAAATCAACATTTACTTGCAGTCACAAAAGACTGTGAGCTGAAAAACTGCTGAAAAACTGATTCAACAAGGATTCATAACCTACCTCATTATTTACAACACTGAGTATGTAACAATTTAGTCAAGATGTCTTTGTAAATCTTGGTTTCTCAGCTATTACATACTCCATTTCTGATGCATGAAGCAGTAGTCCAAACTTTCAATACCATTATTTTCAAATTAAAACCTCAATACAGGTGTTTCAGTTGCTTATAAAGTCTGGAATGAATGCATGGAATATTTCAAGAATGCAGTGATATTTATGTGATTTCTCTCCAAAAGGTTGGCAGGTTACACATCACTTCACCACTACTGTGCTGTGAAGCAACCAGATGTGAAATGCCCAGCACAATCCTTAATCAGTTGAATTTACATGGGACTAAAGTGAACCATCCTTTGACAGAGGATGGAGGTAAGCTTCCTGCACATAAGCAAGTTTAGCAAGCTAAGAGGATCGACCACCACGTCCCTGAACGTTTCTGTTGGCTGCAGATCAATGAAATTAATATGGTCTTGGCTCTACATTGTTCCTGCTCTGCAGCCAGAGGAAACCCTAAACAACAGAGTCTTCCACATGACAAAAGGTACACCTTGCATGTATTGATCTGCTTTGACAATCAAACCTAGCTCAACTGGAAATCTGAATTCTGACTTCTCAAAGGTCTGGTGTTTAGCTTGTCTCTCACTGAAGCTTGCTAAGTTAGAAATATAAGCATGCTTACAGAGTTCTCCAGCTGGATACAGCAATATCCAATGACTGTTCTTTCTTTGGGATACTTAGTGAGCATGCATGAAATATAATGAAAGCTGGTAAAATCCTGAAACTAGAAATTGATACTGTAATTTTTAAAGAGTTAAAAATGCATAATAAAGAAACAAAATGGTACCAAATTTTCATGCATCTATTAAAACAGAAAAATTAAGAAGATAATCTAGAACACACTGAAGTTAATACAATTCTATTGGAAAAGTAACCTTACTAAAATTTAAGGTTATTAAGCTTAGCAAGGTATTTCAGGCACTGACATTTTATAGAAAGGTGAAATAAAGTAGAATTTAAAAAAAAAAAAAGGGAGAGGTTGGGAGAGTGACAAGAAGGAGAAGGACAAAAGAAAAAACACTCATCCTCTACAGGTGTTGGAGAGGAGAGTGAACATAAAAGCCTTAATTCTGGTGGGCTTTTTTTACCCACACAACCAAGCACTTACCAGAATCTGGAAGAACAACATCTACAGCAAAACTCAACCTCACTTCCTCCTGTAATGTATCAATACCAGTTAGTGAACAGTGCCTTCCCATGAGCTGAGAAAAAAAAAAGCTGGCAATGCCTTCATTCCATCCTTTTCCTTCTGGATTATAATGGGCAAAGAAACACTTAATAGACTGGAAATAATTATAATTAGAACAAGAGGGCATAGCAGATTATTTCCCCCTATCTAAATGACTAAATAATCAAGACCTTCAGAAATATCACCTTGCATATTAAAGCTGCTGTTGGGGCTTGAAGTGCTACCAATTCAACTGATTTCTGCACTCTCTTCTAAAGAACTGGGAAATTAAAGTAAAAAGAAAGAATCCCCAGAAGTTGAATTACCCTATTTAAAACAGGTTCAAGTTATGTTTAATATGGAGCTGTTCAGCTGTAGCTCCTTGTAGTAAGAAAGTTCAAGAAACACTGCAGAGATCTACTGAACATCAAAGAAGAACAAGTGCTGAAAACTCACACATTCACCTCCTCACAACTGTTTTACAGGACAACTCAGCTAAAATTCCCACTTATGATGCTCTCATAAATAAGAAGAATCTAATTCCACCTCCTTCCTCATAACCTTAACACCCCAGAGCAGATCACATCTATTGCTTTATCTGCTGGCATCCATTTTTAAAAAGTCTAATAACTTAATGTAACCCACCTTAGCATCATTCAACATGCAATCTAAGCTCTCTTCGTTCTGCAGAACTTGTGAGAGCTTCAAGAGGTGAACAAGATAAAAAAAACCCTTCTGTTCTTTGAAAATAAAGTGACTGCATATTTTTTATTCACATTGTACAGCTATTTGGTATAAAGGGCCCTCACTATCAGTTCATCAGTTTCATTAGAAGCCAGTCACAAGCACACACACAATAGGAACTAACAGGATGAACTAACAGAAGTCTCAAGACATGAAGCCTCCTTTCTAAATTCCTTCCAGTTAAAGAGACGAATAAGCTATTCCAAAGGAGTACGTGACAAAGGAGTTCTACAGTGCAAACAAGGCTAGTTGGAGGTATGCAAACTTAGTCATCTTCATAAATGTGATACCAAGAAACCACAAATACAGAAAAATCAACTCCTGCAGAAGAGTTCATAGGAAGACTGGAAGAAATGCTTGGCTCAAAGTAAGATCAAGAGAGGCTTCAACACATTACGAAGGAGAACTGTATCATCTAGTTCCTTCTACAGCAAAGAAACAACAGCTTATCTCCATCTGTTATTGTATAATACTACATTAAATGTATTTCTCTAATAAATTTTCAAGGTTCTAAGAGTCAGCTCATGATTTTTTCACAGAAACAAAACACCAGAAGTTTTCTGAGTTGGAGATACTACATCTGTTTCCTTCCCACAGTATTTCTCTAACAACATCCTACATGTCTTGATTTTTAACTTTTTCACAAATGTTTTTTTCAAAAAAACCCAGGGTTGTCTGATAGTGCTTCTAGGAGTTCTAGAAGTAACAATTTTCTGAATACTTCTCCCAGTAACTTCTCATTTGAAACACTGATCTTTCTAAAAGGAGCAACTTGTTAATTTCTCGTACAGGTTAAATGAAGCACACTGCCTCTCACTCACTCACAGCAGATCCATTCAAGACAATCAAAACTGTATTCCATACCTTAAGATAAACTCCCGTCTTGGTTTTGCTATTATTTAAACTGCAATCAAAGAAAAACATCTCAATTTGAAGAACCAAAGACTGACAAGTAACATTAATAATACAATCTACTTGCAAACAGATAAAAGGCTGTGCTCATACTATGGGATTTTTGCCAACCCTTACTCCTCATCCACTAAAATGCAGAATTACAAATATGGTAATATGTAATAATGACAGCCATAAGATAATGCAGTACTAGCCTAAGAATATGCAACATATTTTACTGTAATACTGCCTTCCCATGCTCATTTATGTTGTAATGGGAGGGACACTGTCTTTCTGTGAAGATAATTTGGAAGAACTTTCAACAAACTTACTTCTGTTTAATGGGATCACAAACTACTCTATGTGCTGGCCAATCTTTTTTCTGACAATCTACAGAGCAATAGTATGTTTGCAGACACTGTGAACATCTGAGCTTTCCTAAAACAAATGAGAAAAAAGAAATGAAGTCTGAGCAAAACACATTGAAAGGAACAATAACTGTTTAAATATCTGCTTTACAAAACAGCTCCCCTGCAATTCTAAGCAAACAAAAATAGGAATTTGTATTCACATATAGCTATCAGACACTGCTGCCCAAACATCCCAAATTCCTTCTATATTTAAGGGAAAAAAAACCCCACCACTTTCAATAAAGAAAGACTCTCCTGTTTGTCAGCTCTGTTACTCCAACTTCGCTCTAAATAGTCTATACTTGCGTCTGAGAGTTAAAAATATACATCCATTTAAAGATATTTCTGAGCAAACCTGATCTGGTTTCACTGATAAACATACTGTATGTCACAGACTACAGGACAGCAGGCACTTACCAAACAGACCACAACGATGGCAAGTGCCCCCCTTAGGGGGTGGTACTAACAAACTCAAGAAACTCTTATCATAGCAAATAGAAAAAGCACTCTTAGAGGAATATTGCAATTTCTTTGGTTTCCCATTAATCCAATTAGAATGTGACACCTGTGAAAGAAAAACCTGAAGTCACTCTTACTGGAAAAAAGATCACCATAAGGGTAGAAATACTGTAATATACAAAAATATGACAACAAAAGGAGACAAAACTTCTAAGTTCTAGAAAGAGAAATACATGCTGATAATTCCTGCTATCTAGAAATGCTCAGAATACTTGGTGCAACTATAAAGTGAAATAACTCACAGTATTTTCTTTATCAGCTGCAGCTATGCAGTTCTCTCTACCAGTTTTGTCTTCCATAGAACTTCCTAGAAGCAGAAGTATTTGCAAAGGGATCTGATTAACAACACTAACACAAGCCTATATTATGGAATATTTGCAGGAAGAAACAAGGCTCTTGGCTACTCCTACTATTCTGCCAGCCCACTTGAGTGAATGGAGATGCCTGGACCGTGACACACTCTGGAAGTCACTTGTTTTCATTCTGATACTATATTTATTCAATAGTGCAATCAGTGGTATTACTAAAACAACAGTTTCACCTTCTGTGCTTATGACTCAACACTGAGAAACAAAACACTCTGAAACAAGAGATTCTGATTTTCCAGTGAGTGCCTTATAAACCTTGTAGTCCTTTCTTTGAGTTTTTCTTTACCAAACAACTCTTAGAAGGTATTCAGCTAAGCTACAGTAGGAACTCTGCTTTTTTAAGTGGGCAACTCATCCACCTACAAAGAATTAGTCACTGTTCTAGGCTACTTACGCCATTAAAATCTTGTTCCAGTCTGGCAGGCCTGTCTAAGGTCTCCACTGAGACAACATAAAGCTAACATGGCCTTTTTTCCCCACCTGGAAGCAAGTCAATCTTGTAAACTCTGCCTTAACTAAAACTCTTGCTTAAAATGAAATCAAATTTCATGAACTCTCCAGACCCAAGATGTTTGTACATGAAGCTACTTCAGATCTCCCAAAAGGAAGCCTTTCCCTCTCCCCAACCTGGGGTAAGAGAACATGGATCAGACAACACCGAGGCACTTAAGAGGCAAGAAACATCGCTGAAGGAACTCCAACTCCTATATATCAACCCAAATCCCCTAACACTTCAACTATCCTTGCGGGATTTTTTAGTTTCTGAGGCATTTCAGCAGACACAAGTTTGGATATGTAGGAGTTGTATCTATAAGCCATACTCATACTGATGATGTGTATTGATAATGAAGTATATACACAATCACAGAAAAATGAAGTCAAGATACCTCTGTCAAGCTTAGGACAAAGTTTCTCTTAGTGCACTTGTGTTGCTATTAAAACTTTCTGTACTGTTTCTACATTTGTCAAAAATACCCTGTATTATTTGCTTACAAAATACTGGATTTTGTTAGATATTTCAGAAATTCAGCCTCAAAACTAAAAGCTTTTCAACATTAAGTTGGTACCTGTGACCCTGTTGCTTAAATCTGCATCTGCAACTTCATTATGCTGAAGTGGTTCTGCCATCATGTAAAGGCTGACATTAGGGTATGACCAAAGGTGGCTATGGGCCAGGTAACTGCAAAAGCATGGATTTAAAGATTAATTCAGGCAGGCACACAAATTAAAGTATTTTTGGGTCATATTCTGAACATATATTTAAGCATTCACTTTGGAAGGCTAATTCTCTAGCATCTATTTATTTTTTTTTGCACAGCAAAACACTTTCTGCATTAAAGAACTCAACAATGAATACTGCAGGTTAAATGATGAAAATTCCTTTCGGAGAGGAACACACAGACAAATAGGAGTGGCCATCAACACCTGCACGTGAAGCTTGCTGTGTCTCTGGAGGAGACCTCGCTGTACTTTTGTTAAAAAAGTTTGTAGTCATAAAAAGCATAGGCTGCACTCCTGGGTTCCTTCCTCATGCCTGAGGGGAGCCACTGCCCCAACCATTCCCATTACCTGAGGGGAAGCAATGCCCCGGGCTCTGCCAAAATGCTTTTTCAGCACCTACTTTCCAAATGCTAATATGCAATATAATTGCTCTAAATTAAAAGTATAGGAGAAAACAAACTAAAATAAACCTGCGAATACAGCAGAACAGTCTTCGAAGTGACACCGCAAACCAATTCCAGCAGAAACGCGCTTTCAGCAACTGCAATTAAACAGGTGCTATTAAAATTAAGTCACTTTAAGTAACTCAAAATAAAATTAGACAGCTCCGTGCCACGGCCTCTAGCCAAGCTCGCCACCTCCGGCCCTCCCAACCCCCAGCAAAGCGCTCACCCCGGGCCGCCCCTGCCCCTCTTTCCCCCTACACAGTGGCACTCACCCCGGGCCGCCCCTGCCCCTCTCTCCCCTTACACAGTGGCACTCACCCCGGGCCGCCCCTGCCCCTCTCTCCCCCTGACAGTGGCACTCACCCCGGGCCGCCCCTGCCCCTCTCTCCCCCTGACAGTGGCACTCACCCCGGGCCGCCCCTGCCCCTCTCTCCCCCTGACAGTGGCACTCACCCCGGGCCGCCCCTGCCCCTCTCTCCCCCTGACAGTGGCACTCACCCCGGGCCGCCCCTGCCCCTCTCTCCCCTTACACAGTGGCACTCACCCCGGGCCGCCCCTGCCCCTCTCTCCCCTTACACAGTGGCACTCACCCCGGGCCGCCCCTGCCCCTCTCTCCCCCTGACAGTGGCACTCACCCCGGGCCGCCCCTGCCCCTCTCTCCCCCTACACAGTGGCACTCACCCCGGGCTGCCCCTGCCCCTCTCCCCCGAGAGCAGCGCTCACTCCGGGCCGCCTCCCCGCCGTCCGCGCTGCCCCACGCGGGAAGCAGGGCCGGCCGCTCACTCGAGGACCGTCGGCGGGAAGGGAGGAAGCAGCGGCCCCCAGAGGTCAGAGACGACTCCAGCCGGTCCCGGCGGACCCGTGCCGCTCATTGCGCCCCGCCCAGGCGGGACCCCGATCCGCAGGGGCGGAGCGGGGCATGTGCTGTCCGGCCGCACGGCCCGCGGTGCCGCCATCGCGGCCACGGAGCCTTCGTCTAGCGCGGGTTACTCCAGGCCCCGTTCAACCTGGCCTTGAATTCTAACAGGGATCGGGCATCCACAACTTCTCTAGGCCTCACTAGCCTCACAGCAAAGGATTTCTTCCCAATATCTAATCTAAACCCGTCCTCTCTCAGTTGGAAGCCATTCCATGTCCGATCACTACATGCCATTGTAAAAAGTCCCTCTTCAGCTCTCTTGTACCTTGAGGTACTGGAAGGTGCTCTGAGTTCTCTCCGGAGACTTCTCCAGGATGAACAGCACCAGTTCCCAGCCTGACTTCATAGCAGAGGTGCTCCAGGCCTCTTGAGTATCTTCGTGGACATAATTATCCACGGTTGAACCAGTAACCCAAATTTATTTCACACAAATTCAGGAAATGGCTGTGAGAGCTAAGCAAAAAGCTGAAATTTGATTCAAAAAATCGATGCATTTGTATTTTGAAGTATTTGAATTTTGCCTTGCAGCCAAGAACATACATCACTTCATCTCCCATTTACAACCTATTCTCATTTTCCTTTGTCCTTTTTCCTCTTTCTTTCCTATACAAGGTGTTTTCCCCTTTTCTTCAACCTTTGTTTCCCACCTCCATGTCTGTGTCTTCATGGGAAAATACACTTCATCCTCAAGACTGCTGCATTTTTATGCTACTACTCAGACATGATCTCAGTTGTTCCCAGTGCTGTGCAATTAAGCTTTCACCAAAAAATAAATTAATCTGATCTATTTTAGTGCCTACATTGTTGTACTTATTATTAAAGTTTATAAAATCAGTGATGGGTTTTATCGTTACATATTCTGTACAGCAGGGAATAATTATCTCTGTTCACAGAGAAGTAGCTGAAGCACAGCTATTTTGCCTTAAGCCATTTGGCATCTGGCGGTGACAGCGTTTCAGTCTAAATCATCTGTATTTAAATCTAGGATCCTGTCTGCCAAACTAAGCATTCTCAGAAGAAAAGGGAACAACACATATTAGGGCTGCTGAGTTTTCTCTCAGTGGTTTAGATACCACCTACTAAAGTCAGAAGAAAGACTCTTCCTGGCTCACATGAACCTCCAGCCTGAGCAGAAGCTGAGTGGATCAGAGGCTGCTCTTACAAGAAGAAGGAAAATTAGGGGGGGGATATTGTGGGATTTCAAGAAATCCACGTGCTAAATTGCTCAGCAGTGTGTATCAGAGTAGGCACACTCGTATGTGGGAGACTGCAGGGAGACAGGGCAATCATTATCATGCAGCCTCCATCATCTCTCTTCCCCTTGTTCCTCTGTCCCTAAGATTAGCCCAGTAATCCTCATGCCTAGGAAGAACTAGTACCAGTAAGGCACTAAGAAATACTTCTCTGTCATTCAAACCTCTCTCTCTCACAAAAAAAAAAATTAGGCTTTCTTTAGCTTAAAACATCTAGACAAGATGACCCAGCACCCTCTCCAACTGAATCTTAAAATCGTCCAGCATCGGGGAATCCACCACTTCCTTGGGGAGGTTATTTCAATGGCTGATTTCTCTTATTGCAAAACATTTTTCTCCTGTGTCTAACTGAAATCTCCCCAGAAGTGATTTGTATCCATTAGCCTTTGTCTTTTCCATGGGAGTCCATGTGAAAAAACGGAATTTCCATCTTTTTTGTAGCCACCCTTTATACTGTTATGTGGTGATAAAGCCTCCTTTGAGCCTTCTCTTCTGACAGCCGAGCAAGCCCATTTTTCTCAGCTGTTCTTTTTGTATCAAGCTTCTCAAACATTGATGTTCTTTGCAGCTCTTCTCTGGTCCCTCTCCAGCCTGTCCAAATCTCTGTTGTGTAGCAGGGACCAAAAGTGAACACAGCACTTCAGGTGCAGCCTGGCAAGCACTGAATGGGGCAAATACTTCTTTATCCATGCTAGTGATGTCCCACGGTGAGCTGCTTGTCCATCAGGAACCCCAGGTCTGTTTCAGAGAGCTGCTCCTCAGATAGGTAGATACCAGCCTATGCTGCACTTCTGGATTACATTTTTCCAGGTGCAAGGCATTACACTTGATCTTGTTGAACTTAAGGTTCTTGTTAGCTCACTCTTCCAGCCTATCCAGGTCTCCCTGCAGGGTAACTGAGTGTCAGAGGTAGCTGAGGAGAGTGCCCTTAGCATGGAGGCTGATCAGAAGTGACATCCCAGGAGCTGCACAAGGCTGGTATGACTTGCCTGCAATTGTTAGCAAGAGCCTTGGGCTTACATTCACTGTAATAACTGTTCCAGTGTGTCACTAGCTCTAGGATCTAAATGCCCAGGAACCAGCTGAGACACCACTGTGCTTACATGCTGAAAAAGGACAAGCCAAGCAATGTGTAATGAAAATAATTTTTTCCAATTGTAATTTACTCAGAGCACTTGAATGATTGTAGTGACACTTGGGATTTACCATGTATAGGTCAGACATGATGGTGGTGGCAAGCAGCTTCAGCAGAGACGCTGTCCTTACCTGACACGTGGAGGGAAGATGGAGCTTTGTGAATGGTGCTCCCTAAAGGCCCCTGGCAAACTGTGCTTGCTCAGAATAAAATAGTTACACAATTGTCCTAGGGTGACAACAATGAAGGTAATTCCCAATGAAGAAAATAATAACTCTTCATGTGAAATTCAGCCTGCAGTAATTACATTGCAACAGACCAGCCCTCTGACAAATACAGAAGATGAGATTTGGACAAGCTGGACTTTGCTGCCAGCTCCTCCTCATGGACATGGCCCTTTGACACCAGTGGTCTCAGAGGAGTGTACTGCTCAGCACATCTGCTGTTTGAGCCACCTCATTGCTCTCCCTTAAAGTTGCTAACACTTCTTTAGCTGAAGGAAAAAACACAGGTTGCTAAGCCCTTTCAATGGGCAAAACTATAGAAATACTCTGGATAATTAACAAATGTCATTTGGAAACTGAGCAATTAGATGAACCCTTACTTTCCTTTTTCTTATATAACAAAGCATGAGCAAAAAGCCAGAACTACAACCTTTTGAATATGTGGGCCAAATTCTGCTACTGCCTCTGCAATGCAGAGCTTGTCTGCAGCAGACAAGTCTGTTGTGTAGGACTGTCTGTCTTTCAGATGGTAAATTCTCTCACTCAGGAATTGTTTTCCTCAGCATTTTACATGCCAAATAAGAGCTATGGCTGGCTAATTAAGAGGCACAGTAATTCATTCTGATTTAATACACATGCAAGTGGTTTGGGGAAGGACTCCCTCTGTGAACTGTTGTTATCATTCCCTAGGTATATGTGGCTGCCTCCTGGGGATAAGATACTCTTCAGATGAAAATTTTAAGCACAGATATTACAAGAAACAGAACTGTCAACATCAGTTCTGGGAGTAGAGCTGTGGGGAGTCCAGATGAGTACAAAAAAATCCTTTTCTTCTGCCTTTAAAAAAGAACTTCACTAACCAGGCTCTATTTTCTTAACCTGATTTTAATCCTTCTCTAAAAAAAAGTCCAGACTAAAAGACAAAAACCAGATTAAATTCTGCCAGATCTATTAGAACACACTAAACCACATATAGGTAACATCAGTGGGACTGCAGACAAAGTGTACAGCAAAGTGAAAGCACAACTCTTAAAAAGACTAGGGCCAGAGTATACTGATGTCTCTGCAGTTGTCTTTAAATAACTAGAAGACCAAATAAGAAAAGAAGCATTTGGGCACTAAAGTGACCGTGTTACAGAGCAGCAGTGTGAACTTTGCAGCTCAGCTGCAGAACAGCAGCAGCAGTGGCAAAGAACCCTTCCTGAAAGCAAAGCTTGGACT